TGTGTTTGGGAATTCCTCTACTTACAAGAGAGGTATCCGAAGTGATTAACCGCTTTTGAGTCGAAACTATATGCATCGTGTAGCGCCTGTTGAGCTATGAATATTTTGAACAGAGTTCGGGCCCATAGCTTATTGCTGACAAGATACTGCATTTTTACGGTATCTTTTAACAGAATGTCGTGGTCTCCCTCACGAACATCAGGAAAACTGATTTTCAAATTTCTACTTGAAACTTTGTACAGATATAGGCCTTAATGAGAATAGTTTATGATGAAAGTTTCATATATTTTGGTTGTTCCTATCCTGAAATACGGCTATGGTAAAAGCGTGTCTTTTATATCGCTCGTATACACACAGGCAGATTCGATGTTCGTATTTCAGGATAGAAACAATCAAAATATCTGAAGCTTTCACCATAAACTATCCTTATTAAGGCTTCTATCTGTGCAAAGTTGCAAGTAGAAATTCGAAAATCAGTTTTCCTGACGTTTCTGAGCGAGACCACGGCATTCTGTTAAAAAAGATCGGAAAAATGCAATATCTTCTTAGGAATAAGCTATGGGCCCGAATTCTTTTCAGAATATTCATAGCTCAATAGGCACTGCATGAAGCACATAGTCTCGACTCAAAAGCGATTAATCACTTCTGGTACCTTCCTCGTTAGTATAAATGAAAATTTTTCGCAGTAAGCCAAACCTGAATTGCTGATATTGTAAATAAAAGTGGATGGTATTTTGCGAAGTAGAGTTGAGTACGTGAGTGGTTAGCTGCGAGTGACGCCGGAAGGGTCTCTGACAGAGGACTAGCCGATGATTTGGGACGTTGACTGAAATAAGGCTTCAGGCTACTGGAATACACTGAGAATTTCCTATTAAATGGATCTGATCAATTGAAGTAATACCTGGGAACAAAGGAAAACTAGAAAATTAATTTACCTATTTAAATCTTGGGAACAATTTTTGTACAGAGGTATAACATCTCATACTTTCATTTGATAGAAAGAAAGAATTACCCTATTTGTAATCAAGTAGTGCCCGTATACATAACAAAAGTACCTTTTTCGTTGGTTAACCGCAAAAAGTAACCATTGAGAAAATTGGACTTAGGATAACTTACATACATGAACAGTATCAACTTACTGGCACGCTCATTATGAAGACAAACACTAAAAAACAAGAGTTGATAACCGTCTGAATTTTCTTTCCTTTCTTAGAACATAAATACTGAATTTTTTCTCTATGGTTAAGGTCTGTGTCAGAGCTACAATAGTATAGCAGGGTGTGGGTATATTGTTGAAGAACAGAACAATATCCACACCCACACCCTACGCTATGAGGAGATTGAAGTATGGGCTTAATTCAGTCGTCATGACCAACTGCGAACCATGTGCTAAATTTCACTTTAAAAAGTCTCAAGAAAACGTAGCAAGGTCTGATCTTTTTACAAATTGATCGCCATAGACACTTTGATAGACAGATTGTTGTATATGCAGGTGTTGAGCGAGAATTCTCAAAGCTAAGTGCAGCAAGCAATGAAAGATGATTACTATACGGAATTCAGTCAAGAGCCAAGCATGTCCTGTTGACGAGCGTCACTTGTGAGATAATAAAAGCAAAAAGTGAATAACATACACCGGTAACGACTATTCTACTGCTTCTATCTCTGGAAGGAACAATACTGGAAGGCTACTAATACACATTACAAATTGACATGTAGTTAGTTGTTTTAGAAATGGCTCGAGACCGTAAAAAGCTATGGAAAAATAGTTTTCATTTACGTTCAATCAAGTTTGGGACACACTATAATTCATAGTTATGTGGCCTTACAATCCATTTCTAGATGGGTCTTTGCATTATCGAGTCATTTCTAAACCCGCAAACTGGATTCTATTTTGATATGGATAATAGCATTAACGATAAAAATAATAAAAAGAATGTTGAACTTGAGGGTGCGGGTGTGGCTAAACGAAATATTCACAACCTTACCCACACCCGCACTATTTGCTTGATGTAAAATTCATCAATTGATCCCAACAACAAAGTCTTATAGATATGCATAGCAATGCAAATATATGGTAGTCGTTTTGAACTAGAAATATATTTTATTATGAAACGTCTTATTTCACTCATACGTTCTTATGCAATTAGAATATATGAGATTCGAGTGAAATTGATTTAGATGTAGTTTTGATTAATAGACACTACAATTTTCAAGGAAAATTCCTGATTTCAGAAGGGTTTATCTTTTAAGAGTGTTTGATTGTAAGGCCTCGAATAACTACTTTCTTTATGGACACAGTAAATTCATACAAATTGAATTTATAGTGACTATTGATATCCACCTCTTAAAAATAATTTAGCATCATAAAACGAATTGGAATCGGGTATGAAGGTGGATATAAATACAGTCAGCTCGTGAATATCAATTGTCTCTAACTTGTCGAAGTCAAGCATTCGAAATGCTTCCAATATCTGTCTCGGAATTAACTTTAAAAGGCAACTGAATTTCAACTCTTTATCCTCCATAGCGGTTCTAGAAGAGTCACTGATGAAATAACTTTAGACATAAAGTAATAATCTCTTTAATATCCTAATGGTGTAGTCAGATCCGTTAAATGCCCAGTTCTTTGAGTTGTGCGATTTAATTGGTTCGGCAACTAGACAGTGGAGAAAGGGAATCGAACGACATTGTAAGGCTTGTTTTTTTTTGACCACATTATTGAGCCGGCAGAAGCAACTTCTATTCAGTGCTATTGGAATATCTGAGAAAAAAAGGGTAAACCGATAAAAATTAATACAAAAGAGTAGGTGTATTTTTTGCACCTGTTGCCAAATTATAGACTATTTTGCTTTCAGCCAATTTATAACCTGTAAAAAAATTTTTATTTATCATATATACTATTTTGACTTTTTAGGAGTTGCGGTTTATAATGCATCTTTCGACTTTGTCGTTGATTGCCTTGCATCTGCCCAATAGTGGCTACATGATCTATTGTGTCCATTTATATATGAAATTCGCAAAGTTGTCATGAAATTTTCGAAACCTATATAATTCAGCAATGGACTTCTTCATCGATTAATGCCACATATAAGTTCCAAAATATTTCGTTTGTTTCCGTTCCCAAGAACGCGCGAACACATAATGACCAGCGTAAAAACAAAGAAAAATGATGTCCATACATCTTAGGTGCGAGAAAACGCATTAAAGCGCTTGGTTAAATGTGTTCGTGTTCCTCAGTGAACAGAACCCAAAGGAACGACAAAGCTGGCACCACTATTTTCAATCTATTCTTGACAAAATAAAACTGGGCGAATCTATATATATAATGTTCAGTGTCTGTCTGTTTGTGCCAGATCAAAGGTCAATGGTTAAAGGTTAAAGGTCGAACAAGGATATAAGAGGTAAGGATACAAGGGGGTAAGGCAATAAGGGAGTAAGGCAATAAAGGGATAGGGCCGTAAGATTACAGGGAGTATTAGCGATATAACAATATTACGCCGTAGGGCTTCTATGTGCATAATGTCGAGTGTCTCTATATCAGCTACCAAGTGAAAGGTTAAAGTTTTGAGGTTGTACGCTGAAGAAAAATACGCTACCGTGCAGTATGCACGGGTTCTCACTAGTATATAATAACTTTTGGTCAAAACGGAATCAAGAGACTAACGGCCGAGAAAGTTCCTATGAGTGGTCGAATCAAGCATCGTCAAATCGATGTTACAGTCGATGTTTCTACTTGTAGAGGATTGCATATATGAAGAGTAATCGAATCGTTTCTCGAGCTTCGTTGATTCAGTTATATTGCTCATTATGTTTGCATTGAAGAAAACAACGAAAAGAGAATAAGATCAGCATGCTGTTTACGTGCTCTCTCATTATTTTCTCTCTTCAACATTAAATGTTCGTCCTTGTTCGCTAGAGCATGCTATTTGTTTCTAGCAGATACGTATTTATGATTAATAAATTCCGCACCGGTTTGTAACTATTTTAACATTTGAAAAAAAATTTTCGAGTTCTTCAATAGAAAAGAGCTTCGTGCGACAAACTTTACCGAAGAAGAATCGTCTAGTGTTGATATTTGCCTTATTAGGTTCCTTCAGATTATAAGTCCAATTTTTTTTGAAATCAGACTGCCTATGCTTATATCCAGAATGTAGTTCAATGCTGCCACAATAGATAGGCGATGAGCACGAGAGTATCTTGTAACGAACGGTCGAAAAACAGTGTGCATATTGTATACTCTGCGTTACTACGTTCTGCATGATACTGAACGAAATGAGTTAATTGTCACAGCTAATGTAAAATCTACTGTTGTTTTTGTAGATATAATGACAAACAACATGAATCATCAGATTCGTTTGCACGATTATCTATTTGATGTGGCGGCAAAATGGCCACAAAAGGTGGCACTGGTTCTCGATGATCAGTCACTCACATATGGTGAGGTCGCAATGTACGTGCAACAACTTGCTCTCGACATTCTGTCACAAGGAGCCACTACAGGTCAAGTGATTTGTCAGCTGGTCGAGCGAAGTCTTGAAATGATCATTGGATTATTTTCAATTTTCACAGCCGGTTGTGTCTATTGTGCTTTGAATCCAGCCGATCCCCCAGCTCGACTCGCTGCGAAAATCAAGGAATTAGGGTTCCTCAGAACAAACTTTGTTCTTGGTCACAAATTAACTCGAGACAAATTTTCTACACTTGAAACATCTGCCAAGTTGTCGTTTCTTCAAATCGACGATCAACTTTCAGCTCACTCTTCTATGAATGACAACGATCTTGCTCGCTTGTCTCTTATTCAAGTAACGGGTTCGTGTTCCTCCTATGTTACATGCACGTCCGGTTCAACTGGCAAACCAAAAGTAGTTGAACATACACATTTCAGTGCTTTCTCGCACATACAGTTTCTTCTGACCGCTGATATACTTCGGTCGTCTGACAATACGTTACAGCTAGCCTCATGTTCATGGGTTGCACACGTAGTAGAAATATTAAGTGCAATGATTTCAGGCGCAACGCTCATTCTACTAAAGCCTGAAGGCAATCTTAATCTTGCCTATGTAACAAAAACAATCGAAAAAAAACAGGTAACATTTGTGGTATTTAGTCCAACATTTACACGTGCTCTCGTCGCTTATTTTGGGTTAGCAAAAACAGCGGATCAATGTTTCGCTACATTACAACGAGTTAATAGTGGAGGTTAATATTATTCTTCTTTTGCTTAATGACTACTTAGACACACTGCTAAATACTTTAGGTGAGCCATTACCTTGGCTCTTGACCAAACAGTTGCACGCTCTACTACCAGCTGGCACAGTTCATCACAATATTCATGGAGCAAGTGAATGTTGTATCGGGATATCTTATCGAGTGCCACGAGACAATTCTGATAAAACTGAAAATAATATTAGTCATGAAATTATTGTTCCTTGTGGACGACCCAGTTTCAATATGGCTGCGTATCTTGTTAATGAAAATTTGCAATTGATCACAGAGATTGGTCAATTGGGGGAAATTCTATACAGTGGTGAGTAAATTTGTAAATATGTAACGTTTTCAAGAAAAAAGGCATCAATCCATTGAATTTGTAGGTGGTGGTGTCTTTAAACGATATTTGAATGATGTTGAAAAAACCGAAAAAGTACTCATCAAACTACCTTATATAACAGGTGGTGAACAAGTGCTCTATCGTACTGGAGACATAGCTAAATACACGAAAGATGGTAACTTGGTTGTTGTTGGTCGTCAAGATTTTCAGTTCAAAATTCAGGATCAGAGAATCGAAGCAGCCGAAGTGGAACATTTTATTATGGCCTATTCTCCATCGCTCATTAGTAATTGTGTGGTGTCAAAAGCAGTTCATGAAGAACAAGATCATTTGATTGCCTATTTGGCTGTCGGCAGCAATGGTGACAAGATCCCTATTGATGACATTCGGCGATATTGCGAGCAACATTTAGCCTCGTACAGTGTTCCGTCACTTTTTATAGTCTTGCCAAAACTACCAGTATTGCCTACTGGAAAAATTGATCGAAGTCAAGTAAGACATGCATTTTTTGTACACGTCGATGAGAAATAGTTGAGTTCCTGTGATATGAAGCCACTTCGTTCCGAGTTTTTTTTTGTCGTAAGGTATGGAACATCCTGAGTAATGTCTTGATACAATATTTATTGCTACAGTGCAAGTGCACTATATTACTGACATAACTAATTGATCCCAAATAAATCCTTAAAAAAAAACTTCCCGGCGACCTCTGAAAATAAATCATCCTGAACGTTTTCATTGTTCTCTATTATTTTAGAATGAATATAGTTTTTGATTCTGCTTATCAGACATGAATAAATACAGGATGCGTCAAAAGTAAAGCAACGCATATTTTCTGGGATATTCAGTCTATACATTGTCAGTTAGGTTTGATATTTGTGCGACATATATACTAGGTAATAGTATTTGGGTGGCAGGGCTAAGTTAATCGCAGAGTTAATTATTCTTAACTTAACTTTTTTCTGTTAAGCTAATGGATTAATTTAACCGAAAGAAAGTTAAGTTAACAATTAATTTAACTTTTGGCATAACGAACGTTCATTAACCTTGCCCTATTGTCTCGAAAAGACATCACTTTATCTTGTGTTCGATCCAAATCGATTGTTTCAACTTCTCTTCAATCCTTTGTGACGAGAACTTTGAAATAGATTCTGAAATATTCATTGACATTCGAGATTGAACATCATGGAGGTTCGAGTCAATTCTATCTGTCATTTGATTCTATGTTTGCTGTTCTATGGTGGTCGAATCCATAATCCAATCGAAAAGACAGTGATTGCTTACTTATATACACTCAACAGCTTCTCATACATCTGAAAATGATTGTGATATCTGGCATCAGTCGAACTGTGAGGAATAGTGCACAAGATCATGATCTTGCCGTCGTTCGACGAACATTTTGCTTTCCTTCGTGCCGACATAGATGCATAGTGTGTTAGTGTCGACTATATTAGATTAGATGTATATGAAACTACTCTTCGAAGCAACTTAGCGCTTGTTGATGTAATAGAGCGACTCACTAGTGCTAGATGTTGAGTAATACTGATAACGACTATGCAATGGTTGATCAGTGATAGGCATGTGCACTATTTTTGTCTCATTGAGCTACGTACAGTCGATTCACTATGTAAAGAACGTATAAATGAAGACAAAATCAACATATACTTTCAACTAGAAAGACTACATAGTGAGGAAAAATGTAATTAGATGAATTGCCATTCGTTGATTCAACATATGTTGACCAATAACCACGACTACGAAGAGATGAAGCAACATATTAAAACGAAAATGATCAAATTTGATTGGGTTGGTTTTTCTTTTTCTTTCATTATTGACTTAATAGTATGTTCGTGACTGTCGACGTTTTTCTCATCTCATTGCTCGAATACAGCCATGTCAATATTCGAGTATTGAAGTAAAACCTTCTATAATGGTTGGTATTGCATCACAGGTCACGACTACCAATGCGAATACTATCACTATCAAAGAGAAATTAGCCACCTATCTTCATTTCATTCGTGAAAATGTCAAAGAGATTGACTTTCAGCAATTCTAGGTAACACATACAGTCAAATTGCCTCGGCTCATTCAAGTGAATCGCCGATTGAACGTCAATTTACTCTGAATGAATGTTCGATATCGCTGGTATTGTCAACAACAAAGCCTGTGCATGGCTTTGCCCTCTATTCGACTCCTGTGAGACAGCAAACATAGAATCAAGTGACAGCTAGAAGTGATTCGAACCCCCATGATGTTCAATCTCGAATATCAATGAAGATCTCAGAATCTATGTCAAAGTTCTCGAGAGCAGCATATGGCGATTGGAACATCATTTAAAAGCAATGAAAACTGTCTAATCAAGGGTAAAAGATCTAAGAGAAGTTGAGACAGTCGATTGAGATCGAACACGAGGTAACATGATGTCTTTCCAAGACAACAGAGGAAGGTTAATGAATGCCCGTTTTTCCAAAAGTTAAGTTAATTATTAACTTAATGTTAGCGTGCTATCCCTAAGTAGTACGTCAAGAAGCAGCATAACATTAGTCTTTGACTGCAGTAGTGTCTTGATAAACAATCCCAGTTTATCTCAGTTCATGTACTCATGTGAAGCTGTAACAGAACTTCGGTGTATAATTGCAATATGATTGGTCATGAGCGTTGAAGAATAATAGCAATGATCTAAGCAATCAATTATTTTCCACATAGACCGTGATAAACATGAGCATGTTTGCTACAACCCATGTAAAAAAAGCTTTCAACGTAGTCTCTATGGAATTAAAACCTGAAATATGATGGAGCCGGCTTCATTGTGCATGAAGACCCTCGCTATGTGTTGATCATGACCCGCAACAAGATCAAAGGAGCAGCATACCGAACTGTCTGTAGAGGTGCGGAGAAGATCACTATAGGTATATCATGGAATGCTCACAGTCTGAACTTTGAAAAAATTAAAATTCGTTGACAATTGTTATGCTAAAAGTCTGCTGAGTCATGTTTTTATGCTAGTTTTTCACATCTATAATCTAAGTGAATGATCGACGGAAACCTTATTTTTTTGCGTAGTTTCCTCCACCTGATTTCTCATTACTGTGCAAAGTCACGGCCGACACGAAACAACCGACCACAGATATCGAGAAAAAGGTTCATCAGTTGTGGTGCGAGTTATTTCATCGTAGCCAACTGCCGATCAATATCGATTTATATTCTCTGGGTGGAAATTCTCTTCAACTCATGCGACTGTTTAGTCAATATGTGTTTGCCTTCGACTTGAAGCAGTCCACATTAAACATAATCGATTTTTTGGATAAAAGAACCATTGCTCAACACGCACATCTTCTTGAATCGCACAAAAACGGTTATTTTGCTGAACAACAGCAGCAAGTACCAGACCAACAATCGCTTCATCAAAAAGAAGGTAAGAAGACGAATGTAACTTGTACATATTACGAATAATAGTTTTCTGTAGTTGAAGGTCCTGCTTCCTATGCTCAAGAACGTATTTGGCTTGATGAACAAGTTCGATTCGATCAACAGAAAGAGGCAATCGCTATTTATAATCTTCCTTTCATTTACAAGCTGGAATCTGGCCAACTTTCAGTTCAACGTCTCTGCCAAGCTCTTGATCTTGTGATCAACAAGCATAGTACCTTGAGAACAGCGCTACGATTCTATGACGGTCGTCTTCGGCAGCATGTACTTCCTGTTGATGAGAGAAATTTCGAATTCAAAGAAAGTTCAATATCAAGCAATGAAGAATTCAACACTATTGTTGTCGATGAAGAAATCAATCGATCTCTTTTCAATATAGAACAAGGACGCGTTGTTCGCTTGCACATCGTCCGATATAGCTGTGGTGTTAAAGAAGATAGGCTCGTGCCAAATGACGTTGTTATTATCAATTTTCATCATTCAGCTTTTGATGGTTCTTCAATCAAGCCGTTCTTTACCGACTTTGTCCATGCCTATTGCTATCAAGAGTTGACGCCTTTTGATTCGAATACATTGACCTATCTCAATTACGCATCACACGAACATTCAATGCATATGACTGAAGCCAAACTATTTTGGGAGCAAACGTTGCGTGGTTACAATGGTGAAAAACATTTTCCCTTTCCTTATGATCATCCACAGCGGCTTACTTCTCCTCGTTCTGGTCGTGGAGCAACTGTTTCTTTTGAACTCGATACAGAATTAGTACAGCTAATAACCAGCTTTGCCCATCAATCCAAGGCTTCATTGTACCAAGTGTTTCTTACTACCTATTTTGCTTACTTATTTAAACTGGCTCAAAACGAGTCAGATTTGTGTGTGTTAAGTGTTGTTGCCAATAGACCTCTTCGCGAGCTTCATTCTATGGTTGGTATGCTTGTCAACATGATTCCTTGTCGTTTACAGCTTGATCCTCAATGTTCATTCGACGAACTTCTTGTTACTGTTCAAAATCTTCTTATCAATGCGCTTGTTCATTCTCAATTTCCCTATCAGAAAATCGTATCATCAATGCCGATTTCCGTCAATACTGAATTCTTGTATGAAACAAAAGAAGAATATGGCGCAAGTGAGAGTATTTCATTGGTTGACGACATTCATTTGACTCGTGTTGACTCGTTGGATGGAAGCAACACTCAAATAGCCATTTTTGATCTTATTATCACCGTTCGACACGATCCAGACAATAAAAGTATAAAAGTATTATTCAATTATTCGCAAGATCTATTTGACAAATGCACGATAAAAACAATGACAGAGCGTTTTCACATTCTTCTACGACAATTGTTTGAACAGAATACTGAACGACAACAACCAATTTTTAGTCTTTCATTGCTCTTATCTAATGAAGTACAGCTTCGACATGAACTCAACAGCACTTATTTGGACTATAGTCGTTCACTCAATTGTCTACCAGAAGATTTTGCTCGACATGTAGACATGCAACCTCAAAAAGTAGCTATTGTACTGGATGAACAATCCGTAACATATGGTGAACTTCTTCACAGTGTGAATCAACTTGCGTTTCGTCTATCGACTGAATTCAACGTTCAACTAGGTGATATTGTTTGTCAATGTGTTGAACGATCGATAGAGATGATTGTTGGTCAACTAGGTATTCTTGCGTGTGGTGCTACTTATGTGGCTTTGTCACCGAATGATCCACCCTCGCATCTTGCCATTCTTATTCAGCAGACTGGGTCTCGTCTTATTCTTGTTCAACCAACGACACGTGATAAATTTGAAAGCATCATAACAACATTACATGTGACCTATGATATACAAACGGACGAGCTAGCGCCTCCTGTTGGAGTGAAACTCGATAATCTGGCTTAGTGAGTTTTTTTTTCTGAAATAGAGCGTCTGTTTTAATAGAGCTGATTCGTATAATTCTAGTCTTGTTTTCACGAGTGGCTCCACTGGGCAGCCGAAAGCCGTAGGTTTATCATGATACTGATGAATTCATGCTTATGCGGTTTTCCTTATAGGTTTCAATCACACATCGCAATTTTGTGTCATGCATTTTGTCATTCGAACATTTGGACATTTTCAATCGGCGAGATATTGTCATTCAAATGGCTGAATGTTCGTTCGACGTTCATGTCAAAGAATGTTTGGGCACTTTGATTTTGGGTGCTACACTTGTTCTCCTGCGTCCCAATGGCAATATGGATGCCGATTATCTTTTGACGACAGTTGAACAACACCAAGTGACTTTCTTCAATATTGTTCCATCTCTTATGACTATTCTATGTGATTATCTAGTGGAAAGAGACAGCTTTTGGAAGTTGTCGAGTATCCGATCGTTCGGCTTTCTGGGTTTGCATCTTTTTTTCTAGTTATACTTTAACTCATACTCATAAGTCTTGGTTTTAGGCGAGGCAATCATTCCAAAGACACTTGCCATAATGGCAGATCATATGAATCTAAAAAATACTCGTCTATACAATTTGTTTGGTCCTGCTGAATGTACACTCACATCGGTCTATCATGAGGTGACGTGCGAAGATATTAAACTTGGTGAAATTCCAATTGGTCGTCCATTTCCCAATATGCAAGCATTCATTTTTGATGAATATCGGCAACATGTTATCCCTGGTCAAGTGGGCGAATTATATCTCGGCGGTATTCAACGTTCGCCAGGTTATTTCGGTCGAAATGATCTTACTGAACAGGTTAGTGTGAATTGAAGAGAATATGCTAATTTTAACATCCAAATAATCGAAAACAATATCGGTAGACGTCAATCAATAAAAACATAATTTCGGAACTGGCTAAATGTAGAATTCAACATTAACACATTCACTTTCTAAATGAAATGAAGTTCAACAGAATTCCAAAACTTTCCTCTATATAAAGTTGAAATAAATACTTTTAATGTCAAAAGAATATAAAACACTCCACCGTTGTTATAGACTATCCAACGAAAATTTTTTTGTTCTTTAATAAAACCAGTGTCATTTCGGGTACTGCATTCTTCATCTGTTTGACAAACACGTTTCGATAAGCTGATGAGCATCACTACAAACTGCCATTTTTATCTGTTCCCATGTCGTTTTCAGCTTTGACAAGACAATAATAGAAAATTTAGTCTTGAGTCTGATATTTTCGATGAATCTCAGTCCTATTAATAGTCAGTGAGATAGAAATAGAGTAAGTATAGCGATCTGCCTAGTCGACTTTTCGAAGCAAGATCGCTAAGCACTCCGTTCGTTCTGTTGTTATGACCGAGCTGACATGTAGATATGTTAAGTTTGATAACGAATTGCAAGTGAGCCTACATGTTAGGATGGATGGCTTGTTTTATGATAATTTTCATAAATATTACTAACATACAGTGAAACACATTCATAGTTTTTGATAACAGTGTACCTTTATAGAAAAATTAGTCGAAGAAGTCACAAAAACTTCGTTGCATGATAAAGTATTAAGGAATAAATAATCGTTGGAAGATGCTTTCTATTCCAAGCCAAATTATATCATAGTATATTATTCAATGAATCCATTGCGACGCAATAAATTTTTGTTGCTTAGCACACGCAGAAGAAGCTTTCGCATAAAACCGTGATTGAAATGAACCACCAAAATTAGATTATTTTTTCGTTTATAACCACCTGTCAACACCGTGATAGCTCAGTACCCTTGGGAGAATAGAAACAACTACAGTTCGGACTAACCTTTGCAATTAGAGCTGCGATTTTCTTTGTTCTAACTGCGGTATTTACACATCACGGTTCGCAGCGTTTTCATTAGAGTTGTAAGAATAAAGGAATCGTGCGCTTCTTATCCATGGGGTCTCTATGTGAAATTTCTTCCGAACTTTGGTACTTGGCGAATCTCATTATGTGATGATTCTGATTTCGGACAGTCGGCAACATAGCTCCGCGAAGGGTGGCTTCATCTAATTTGGCAATATACAAAGGTGCAGCCAATTAGCCTGGTTCAATTTTGACGATTCCAGAGAAACTCACGTTTACAACGATTTAAGGAATTCACGAAAATCGGACTGTCAATAGGGTTTTATGAACCTCTAGAAACCGCGACTTGGTAGATTCTTGTTTCTAACGATTTCTGACAACTCATTACCGTCTGGCTTTGCAGCTCACCAAGTTGCGCTAAAGAGCGGTTTTTTATGAATAATTTCTTTGTGAGTACAGAGCACAATACATTCTTTGGCCATCCAACAAGATGGTGTCGACCTTCTTCAAATTTCAAATAGTAAACTTTTATGTTGCTAATAGTTGACGCCGATGCGAATCGCAAAAAGTTCGATGTGTGGAGTCTAGTATGTAGTGACTATGTTTGATCAAAGTACTAATTACAAACGACTCATCCTGTTTTCAATAGTTTTAAATACCGTATCGAAAATGTTCTACCTCTGTAGTCGATACGAGATTTATATGCTGGATTTCCCTTGAATCTACCATAGTTAATAGTAGTTTTTTCTACAAACTGGAAATTAAAGATTCTTTTTCGATGTTCGTGAAACTTTCATACACGAGTTCGTGAAGTGCGGAAAATCTATTACAAGACTGACTTTGTATCTCGCAAAATCTAGATGCTTTGATGATTGCCACCGACAAACGCTGATATCGATTCTCTGTTTAGTGAAAAAGCAACAACAAAATATTGAAGAACACTATCAATATTATGAAAACCTACTATTGTTCTGTTTAATTTGATGGAACCAACTATCGATCAACCAATTGACTTTTTTACAGGACATATTGAGTGCAGTATTGGTAGAACGTTTTCGAAACAGGTTGTAGATTGAAATGGAATCATTTGATAAGAAAAATAGTTTGCTCTTGATCTACACGAGGTTGAGGCTAAGTTCTCTAGCTTCTACTCTTCAGAAGCTATAAGCGCTTTCTCAAATCTCGGTTTTGACTAAAGTAAATCACCTTGAATCACGTCGAAATCGACCATACTGAGTCGACTGGCAATGTTTATTTTCAACTTTCTAAACTGTTTGAAGTCTCTATATAGACTTTTTGCATAATCACTCTAGACGTCACATACCAACAGCAAATGCAATTTAAAAACCGTGATAAAGTGATTTTCGATAGTTTTCAAAATTGAAATTAAACATCTTTACTCGACTATACTAGACTGATTGCTTCTATTTTGAGTCGATTCAAGGTGAAAGGGCCAATATCGTGGTTTCTGGAAGACTGCTTATAATTCTTGTATCGAGCAAGCTAGCAAGGCCAGACTGGTGTAGATCGAATGAGAACCATGTTCACTATTGAATAGTACTGCTATACGACTAGATAGAATAAAACATGCTTCAAAATACTGACCATAGAATATTCAACAAAACCTCATCGGATTGGTCATTTGTTGATCTAACAACTCGATGATCAAAATAATTGGCGTATAGTTAACTCATTAACCAAATCTGAACTAAGTAGATCCACTCAAATTTGATCTGTGGTTTCATGCAAACCACTAATCAACTATGTAGACCATAGAATGTATGTGACTCTATGTTTTATTCGTAAAAAACAAACATTAGAAACAGAAAGAACGATGTGCTTTTCTAAAAAGAACATTCTAGCAAATCATAAGCATGACTTTTGATGAATATGTTTCGATTAGTCAATCTAAATGAAGCTAAATTTTCAGTGCACATTCAATTCGCTCTATCAAACGGGTGATCTTGTTCGACAAGATCCGACAACAGGTGTTCTCTTCTATTTGGGTCGAAAAGATTTCCAAGTCAAACTACGTGGGCAGCGCATTGAATTGGACCATATTAAGCGAACAATTTTGGATGCTTCTCAAATGGTTTCTGCCTGTTTGGTGAAGAAATATCAAGAAAAAGATCAGGAACATCTCGTTGCTTATGTGCAAGTTTCATCTCAAGTGGAAACATGTCAGTTACGTGATTATTGTGAATCGCATTTGCCTCCGTTTATGATTCCATCTGTGTTCATTATGTTGAAGCGCTTCCCATTAACGACAAATGGAAAAGTCGATCAGAACGCAATGCCAAAGCCAGATTTTAGTACATTAACACATAACGAAAATGATTCTTATTCACATCCGATAACAAAGCTCGAAGAAAAACTTCAGAACATTTTTGTTGAAGCATTTCATCTTGAAGCATCTCCTGATGTTAATATCTCTTTTGGCCGACTAGGCGGTACATCACTCGGAGCTATGCGAGCTCTTTCATTCATTCGACAAAAGATTTATTCCCAAATGAATATTAATCTTCTATTTACAAATCCATCTGTTCGACAGCTTGCTAAAGTTCTTCAACCGCTGATCACTGACAATAAGCATGATTTACTCACAGAACCGATAACAAAAGACGAGAATGAAGCTTCTCGTCCAATACCATCAATTATCAGTGAAACCATTGGGATTCTATTTCTAATTACTCTCTGGATCTTACCTATTCTACTGATCATTTCTTCCTCTTCAATAATGCTTTTGTTCATCGTTCCATTCATCCATTTATTTAGCTATGTACTATGTAAAAATTTGCTATTTCCATTGGGCATTGCAAAAATGGAAGACGTACTCTTTTCATCTAAATATTATTACTGGTGGTTCCTACAACGCATGTGGACTTTAAATACTTTCTGGCTCAATCATTTACAAGGTACATCATTCTATAATGCCTATCTACGTTTATGTGGTTCTCGTATTGGTCACCATGCGAACATTGACACATCATTTATCGATACACCAGATCTTCTCGACGTAGGCGATTCAACCTACGTTGGTGACGAAGCTGTTCTTTCTTCTCTTACCTATTATGATCGTACCTTTAAACTGCATACGATTCGAATCGGTTCGAACTGTTCAATCGGTTGTCGAACTGTTCTGCATAATGGCGTCGAAATCGAGGAACGAGTAGTGGTGAAAGCCATGTCGCCTGTCACTGGTCATATTTCAAGTGGATCGATTATCGACGGTCCATCACAACAAATTGATAAAGATCAATCTGCATCGGACAATGATAATAATGCACTCTCCAAATCACAAGTAGTTTTTCAACTTATTTCAATTTTGGCTATGTTATCTGTTCACACTTGTTTCTTCACATTGATTTTTTCGTGTCTACCATCGATAATCCCATTATTCATTCGTCTAGCCATCGTTTGGCTCGCTTGGTCCGTTGGTCGCCTGATATTATGTGTCGTTCTTCTCAAAATTATCATTGGTGAAGCACAACCAGGTATATATCCTCTGAACTCGTGGTATTTTTTACGCAAACTATGGCTTCGTCAACTTGTTGTTCGATCGTTGGCATTTTCATTCGTATCCCATATGGGTCCTTATCATCTTTTGTTTCCTCGTCTTTTTCAGTGGCTCGGTGCTCAAATCGATGAACCGAATGACATCCGCATATCTCAAGCGCATTTTTTACTCGCTTTTCCGACGAATCTTGTTCACATCGAACAAGGAGTTACAGTAAATGGATTCGTTCTATTTATTCCGTTCAATGTGACAACAAATGGCCAATGTAAAGTAAATCGCATCCGACTCGGTCGCAAAGTTCAACTTGGCAATCATTGCACTGTTCAACCAGGAGCAAATATCGTTAAGCAAACGCTTGTTGGCACACTGACTCGTATTGATGAAGAGACGAATGTTGTAACTGATGATGATAATGATCGTAGTAGCGTTATGCTTGGTATTCCAGCTCGATTGATGCCTTTTCAACAACTTAGTCTACTGTCAATGTCAACAAATAATATTTCGCCATCCATTTACTCTGATATGGCGTGTACTATTGGTATTCGATTTTTGGTCAATGTAATTCTATCATTTGTATTGATTTATGATCCGCTGTTACTATTGATCTATTTTCTTGCGGCGGAACATTTTATTTCTGTATTTTTCTATGCAATACCACGTGAACTCAGTTTGACTGATCGTATCAACCCCTGGCTATATCGATTGACCACAGCTTTGACACTTGATTTTTTTACTTTCATCACCCCTCTTCTTGGTGGCACTCAATGGTTGGTTATTCTATTGCGTCGTCTCAAAGCTAGTATTGGTCAAGATGTAGTCATCGGTGAGATCAATGCAGTCGAGGATTGGAAACATGTCACTATTGAATCACATGTTCGTGTGAGTGCAACGGCCAAAATTCAGGTGAGAAAATCTTGGTAAATCCATCGGAAAAATACCACTTTTCGGAAAAAAACTTAACTTTTCGAGTTTTTTCGTGCTACTTTTAGATTGAAAAAGAATAGAAAACATTTTTGGTCAGAAAAAAATGGAGGCTTGAATGTGAAATTGTGGAAGATTCAGATCATCCTTTAGGAACAGCTCAGTATTCTCATGCATATTCAGTCATGATAGCAGGATGATCTCCGAAAGTTTTTCATTTTTCATCAAAAAATGACGACGATAGGGTCAAAATTCCAAAAAGCACTAAATTGAACGACTGCTCTGAATGCTTCTATAGTGTCTTGAGGATGCTGGTCCAGTTTAGTGCTTTTTAGTATTATGCCCTAATCTTCGTCATTTTTCGATGAAAAATAGAAAATTTTTCCCAATAAGAGCAGCGTCAAAAGCTCGACAACCAGAGCTGTGTGGGAAATTTTTGCAGAACATTCTGCTATCATGGGTGAGTATGCATGAGAATACTGAGATGTTTCTAAAGGATGATCTGAATCTTCCACAATTTCACATGCAAATCCCGATTTTTTTTTCGACTAAAGATGTTTTCTAGGCATTTTCAGTCTAGTTAGCAGGAAACAAGTCGAAAAATAAACTTTTTCCAAAATCTTATTTGCCACCGTCTTTCGAATTTAAAGTGTCATACAAGCGAAGGTCGAATGACTCATCTGGCACCGGTCACTATAGGCTCTTATTCGCGTCTCTCTCATTGGGCATTCGTCTTTCCAGGAGCGACTCTCAATGGCAACAATATTATTCATCCATTAACACTCATCATGAAAGATGATCAGTTACCAACGAATACACAATGGAGTGGCTGTCCGGCGACTCCACTAAATATTACAGATGAATCATGTTCATCAATATAACTTTTGAAAACACAGAACTCTTCATGACATCATTTTTCTTCCGTAAATATCACCAATTTATCCACAGTAGCGCTTATGATTTTTGCTCTTTGATATATACACTTCTAGAGAGTGCTTTCTATCCAAATTCGAACTAGGCATTAGAAAAAAAATTGAAATCAACCGAGAAGAAAACAGCTTCACAATATATTTTACTAATAAAAATTTTTACAGCATCATCTATAACAAAAATTTATCTGATAATCAGGACTGATTCGGGCGATGTGGCCAGGATGTGGGTGTGGGTGTGGATGTGGAGCAGAGGGGAAAGCAGATTTTAAGATTTCGAAAGATTTTAGAAAATTTTGAGAGATTTTAGAGATTTTGAGAGATATCAATCGATTCCAGTGTCATGAAATTTGGACACACTCATATGAGCGCGCGTTTCTTATGTACTTTGAATATTCAAGTGACTCATAAGAACCAACTTGTTTTCGTTTGTGTTCATAACGGCTGTCAGTTCGAGCTTGGGAGCCCTTATAAGAGCACTCATGAGGGTGATCTCTACATCCTAAGCATCGACCGATTAGGTTCAAGCAAGCTGTTTTTCAACTATTGTAACGACAAAACATACTGATGTTCGGGTCAAATGAAAGAGAGTCCCAGAGAGCTCTAAGAGGTTGTAGATGTGGTTGGATGTCGATGTAGGTGAGTGTGAATGTGTGTGGATATGTGAGTGTCAGCATTAGTGCGTGGCTCTTCTCTTGACCCAAAATGACATTTCAACCTTACATCACAAACTCATGTCCGCATCTACACACATCCACATCCACACCCAACACTCATATCCACCTCAAAACGTTATTGCATCTCATAATTACGACGTCACCTGCTTACTCCTGTAAAACTCTCGTTTGGGAGAATGTTTGATAGAACTGATATTTCAGTCTGCTTAACAATTTTGGGAGCGTACACCGATTGTCTGCCGTACTTTGTCGTTGTAACTTGTACATATTTAATATAATAATATATTTTTATATATTATATTTTGAGATGGAGAAAAGATAACAATAACCAGCAGACCAGAATATGATAATCTAGAAGATGGTAATAATAATAATAACATTAATAATAATAACTGGGAAAAAAAAACCAACACCTGCATAATAACGACCGAGAGAAGTCAATCACGAGGATCAGTCATAGTTGAAAGATTACGTAACAAATCATAACAGAGATCAAAGAATCAGATAACATATGAATGAACGTTTAGCATTAGTGAATGCCATCTACTGACTCTAACAATACCAAAGCCATCTTTTTATTTACACTCGTTGGTTTAATCGAATCGATATTCATCATATTTTAAAATATTCTTATCATTACACATAGTTTCCTTCTTTCTCAAGCGACTATTTCTTGTTGATTGGTTTACCATTTATATTCTCTCTGCTCATGTTTCAATTATTTTCCTCTCTCCTCAATATTGAATATAACTCGTTACAATGTACACCACTATATATTCCACTTCAATGATGGATCTAACATAGTTGCCCCGGCATTGAATTGGTTCTCTAATCAAAGAATCGAAGTAGAGATCCAAGCCACATAAAAATCGATTTCGGTAACTCTGAAATGCGTCGTACTTTCTTCTACAAATGCACATAGATATCCACACTATAAGGCATCTCCGCATCTTGCTATTCAAGAGACATTTCTCTTGAAAATCCTGGTTCTTTACTACTGATTTACTGTTATAATTTAAATAAACACAGTGATTTTTTCAACTTTTGATTTCTTTTATAAATAGAATGAAGATTTAAATACAGAATCGAACTGACAAGGAAACATTCCGACGTACCGGAGCGCTTTGCAGCTGGCAGTTAGTGCATCTTGTAGGCCTTAGTGAACTATATCTATCCTAGCGAAAGTTCGTGCTTTTGGCTTGTTTCTGGAGAAATTGAACCTTTTACTGTTACAGCTATAATGGGTATCTTATTAGAAAAATTATAGTCTCAACCGGTGTAAATGGAAACGACCCGACATTTTTCTAATATATAATTGCACTTATGTTGTAGAAATACTAAACGTATGAGCTGAAACTGTCTTGAAAAGACAGAGTTATTGCTTTTAGATAATGTTAACATCTTTCTAAAAGCTTTAATTCTGTTACTTCTTAAAATTGCAAGTTGTATAGTTGAAACTTTCAGATTAAATGAGTACTTTCTCGTAACATTCATTCAAATGATTCATGATTGGAGTACATCACTCTAATTCATATTTTTCTCATCCCTCTTAATATTACTAGTATTCACTGACAGTGATAATTATCAAGATGGCCAGCAAAAAACAGTATAATTGCTCTACATTTCACAAAATAATTATCTTTACATTAGACTATCTTGACAATTATGAAAACGATAACCGAAGAAACGATGAAAACAAAAGTTGTCTCTATACCAACTGTAGTAGATGAATCGAGAGGATCGAGAACTGTGATCACTACATGCAACATTGCGGAAATGAAAGCAGATCTTTGTGGCAGACAAAGAACAACCTGAATGGTTGTGTTTAGCTAATATATTAAAAACGTTCGATCACCTCAGAAACAGATCATAATCACGAACTTTCGCTAGGGTAGTCATAGTTTACTAAGATCTGCAAGATGCAATAACCCTCGACTGAAAAATGCTCTGACACCTAGAAATGTTACCTTTTAAGTCATCTGAAGAAAACCTTAGCCATATTGTAACGCATTGTCGTCGACGAGTTCGGTGAAATATACTCCACATAAATACCCTTACTTTGTTTTTTTCAAAGTTGTTCGTGTTTTCGAAATTTTAACATTTGTTTCTCGAACACTAACTTTTTCTATTTTATATGGCCTTTTTTTCAAACTTTGTTGTGCTTGATCTATTCTCAGTGTTATACCTTGAAAATGTGAATTTATTTCATGTCATGTTTATTTCTAATAAAAAAAAGATAGTACAGTTCAAACGTTTTGTAAAGTCAAGAGAAATTAAGTGGGTCATTTGCCAGTGCGTCCGCTCATGAACTTAGATATCTGATCCAAACACTCCATAGTGTTTCGTCAATACATCCAACTTGCTTCTCAAATCAAAAAGTAAATTAATAAGTCCATCTTCAAATCGATTAGCAACTTCGCACAATCTCTGATAGATTGTGTCAGTAACCGATTCTGTTTCAGTCAAATTTGAAAGATGTTTGCGTTTTTCCTGGTCTGCAATTGTTCCAATGAATTCATCATACGAATTCATAATCTTCTGAGCTTCCTTATCCAAATGAGGATAACGAAGAAGCACGTTAGCGATGGTTTCCAAGGGTGTCATTTGGAAAACCTATTCAATGTAGTCAATTATTACTTCGTGATTGTTCTAATTGGCAAAGAGTGCCTGGCGCTCGTTGTCAGTGAATTTCAAGTGAAAACAGAAACACACAAGCAAGTCAGAGACATAGAGCGGTTTGCGTGACATGCGCAATTTGATATCGCGAATCGAAAAATTCTTACCAAAGAGTTTTCGACGTTTCTAGGGAGCATTAACTGTGATGTTTTCTCAAAATCGAGCAGTGTCATTTTGAAGAAAGCTTGACACATGAAAGTTTGTGCCTAACCAAAGGCCACGATCTTCAAGAAGATAACGTTTCAAAATAGCACGTTTCACATGGTTATAGACATCATTGCTGCCTATTACTTCAGATTCGAGAAATAGGACCAACCGATGAATCATGTTGCTATCAGTATCATTTTCACCACCAATAGCGTGAACAAGTATATGACTGAATACAGGTATATCGAAGATCGCTTCTGGGCCCACTGGCTTGCTTGCTCTTTTATTTATTTCCTCGCGAACTCGTCTAAAGAAATCATGGTGCTGAGAATCAGCTGAGCCATCATTAAGTAGGAACCAATCAATATCACTTCCAACTGTGAACTCATTGCGAGCCAGAGAATCTGCAATGACAATACTTGTATCCATCGAATCTAGACCTTGTAGACCTGTTGTAGCTTCCTTCCGTTTCTCTATAGCAAAGTTGCGTGCCGCTCGAAGATGTACCCATTGAGTATTAAGCCGTGTTGCGAGTTGGTCAATACTAGAGATGGCCTTGTCTTCGATTTGTTGTGGCAATCGATACATTTGGTGGTGCCACTAATAATCGAGTTTTGGCACGTATGTATTTTTTCCTATGATTTTCTTTTCTTGACTTCTACTGAGTTTGCTAGACAATAGTGGAATTGCGAAGGAGCTACTCTTGCCTACAAAAGTTTTCGTTTTCAAAGAACAACATACTAACCCTCACATAACTCGTATGGCGAGACTCAGTTGCAGTCTTCAACAGGACATTAAATGTACGGCAGAAATATTAATCGTATTTCCCATTTATTCCTGTTTCGGATACATTTTTCAACACCTGTTTTATTGAGTTTTGATGAAAAGATTGTTAGGAAAAGTTTTTTCAGACAACTTTTTATCACATTTTTCAAAAATGTATCACTCTGTGAGCTATTGTTTCAACAGCTGTTAAAATTATTAGGTTTGAATGGAGTCACCTTCGACTACCAAGCATAAAATCAAGAATATTTTGTGAAATTTCTTTCATAATAAGAAAATTCTCATGTTGTTGATGTTGAGTCGGTAATGTTTTAGTTAGAAACTTTCAATAACATTCGAAAAATTTGCCGCCTTCGACATCAAAATACAAAATAAAAAATTTGATTTTGAGTTTCTACTACTGACAATCAGTCTATTCCCATTTTATGCACATAGAACATTAAATTTTCCTGATGAAAATTGTAATAACTGTTTTCAAAAATAGCTGCTATTGATAGCGTTAGTTGTATATTCTTCGGTATCGAACAAATTCATTCAGTTCTAATACAACTGTTCGCTCAAATTGTAGAAATGCAAATTTTGCAGACGCAGAAAAATGTTTCAGAGCGTTGTCGCTTAAAAATGTATAGTAGTGACGGAAAAAGAAATCTTTTTTTGCTTAGGTAGGTGGAAAAGTTTTACTTTTTGGGCTTGGAACTAACAGACCAGGTATGCTGACAATAAGCTAGAAGTGAGCTCAGCTCACCTGTCTTTCTGCCATCCCCTCGCGAAAAACAAAATTCTGGCTATGTCGCTACCGAAAAGAGTCTCCTCTTCAGATCTGGGCAAGTCAAGTCAAAAATACCTCAGGTCAAGTCAGTTTAAGTCCAAGTCAAATCAAGTCAATCGACTGACCTTGGTCAAAAAAAAATTTGAGGTTTTGACTTGACTTGTGACTTGGAAAGTCTCTGATTTGCCCAGCCATGCTCCTCTTCAACATGGATAAATACATTCGACATCTGTACGATGTCTCGTTTTTTATCTGTTTCTGAAAAGAAGCTTCTTTATGAACAGGAAATGCAGTTTGAACTTACTACCAAAGAAGGAATCGTAGAGGTTAATGAATTCTTATTGAGCGCAGAGACGCTTAAGCTTACTGATGACGAACAAAGAGGAGATACTATTCCATTAGGCAGCACCCAGTTTGGAACTACAAGTGTAGATGAAGTCTATTTGGGTTCATTGTGCTGTTGTGTATTTGGAATCGATTGCAAGGATTGATTGTCATCGTCCAAAAATAAGTTAACCATTATAGCGATGAAGACTAGTTAAAGATTATCTGTGTTTCTTGAATGTTTGCAGAAGTCGTATTGCTTGTTTTGAGCTAAAGAGTAAATGAAGATGAATCTGCTACTTATCCAACTGCTTATATATATATATATATCAATTAGGGAGTCAGCCTATTTTCACATTAGTCATTAGTATCCAGCTGCTACTGACTTCCGATCCAATAAGACTAGTCAATAACAATGTATAACGTCACGTTTTACTGATAGGATAATCACGAGAAAGGGCTTGATTTTAGTGAGTGATAATGACATGACGGAATAAACAAAACCAAGTCACACGGGAAAGAGTAATGTAAATCTTGCTTTTCTTTCACAAAGACTATAACAAAAAAAAAACTTTCTTTCGTGTTTCTATCACACGACACGGAATTCCACACTTCTCTACACAGTGGAATGTAGTTATGAAGTGTAGGTGCATAGTTCTTCATGTCACGCACCTACACCCCCACGCCCATACTCACACGCACACCTACACTGATACTAACAACAACAACGTGCATGGATACGCACATCTGTATATCCCAAAAACCGAATAAATCGCAACGTGCAGCGTAAGAAGCTCCACAATTTACATAAGATCCATTATTTTATCGTTGAACTTTTTGTTTTCAAAACCGACAAAAACTTGTACGACCAAAATTTTAATGCTGCGGAATCAATAATTTTTTGCCAGTCAACAAAATTCATTTTTTTTGTTATCTCATCTTTCCATTGCTTGATATGCTTTGTTAAAATGAAAATAAAGTATAGTACAAGATGCAGTGTGAAAATCTCAATCGTTCTAAAAATTGTTTACATTATATATGCACCTTTTGTTTTCGAAATGGTTGATTCTGGTTGACTAATTTTCGATGCAGTAAGGAAGATCATACAGTGGTACAGGACGAATTCCTTTTTTCTAATGTCACGGATTAATGCATCATAGTCTCTAACTTTATCCAATTGCACGTTATTAGTAATAGTATCCTAGATGTAAAAATTCAAAACATCTTTTGTTGTGTCTTCTTTTCTCTTTTTCTTTTTATTTCTTTTAGTCACACATAATATTATGTTCTGTTATCAATGAGACAGTGACGAGATGAAATGACAATAGAACGACACAAAAGAATAATCTCCCTTCGCATAGAATCGAACCGTGCATCTCCTGCTTTTTCGAACAATCGTATTAACCACTGTACTAGAAAGGAGTGTTTATTATTCGTTTTATTCCGTCTTATAATCGAAGAGGAACACTTCGAGTATAACATCTTTGAAAGAGCTTCCGATTTCATTTCTTTTCCCTAACTTACACGCTATGAGGTATGTGTGCGCGGGTGAGATGTGGGTGTGAGTCTGAGTGGGGGTTCGTGGCATAAAGAACTATAAACCTACATTTCATAACCATATTTCACCATGTAGAGAAGTGTGGAATTCCGTATCGTGTAATAGAAAAATGAAGGAAAGCTTTTTTTATTATAATCTTTGAGAAAAAGAGTAAGATTTACATTACTCTCTCTCGTATGATTTGTTTTTTTCATTCCGTCAAGTCATTATCACTCACTAAAATCAAGCCCTTTCTCATGATTATCCTCTCAGTAAAACGTGACGTTATACATTGTTATTGACTAGTCTTACTGGGTGAGAAGTCACCCGCAGCTAGATGCTAATGACGAATGTGAAAATAGGCTGACTCCCTAATTGATATATATATTTGCAGTTGGATAAGAAGCAGATTCATCTTCGTCTTACTCTTTAGCTCAAAACAAGCAATACGACTTCTGCAAACACTCAAGAAACACAGATAATCTTTAATCTGTCCTCATTGCTATATGTACCTGTTCAAATATGATCAAATCCTTATTCTGATGTATCTTTACCCTCTTTTTGGTGATCGAACTAGTCCAACATAATAAGAATTTCAATAATATCCTAGGAATAAAGACGTCATGTGACAGCTACCGACCTATAGTGTGGGAATTGCTTTCGTTGGAGAGCCTCCATGATTACAACTTTAAAGTTTTGAAAACAGTTGTCGAAACAAAATCTAGCCAATAAAAATATTTAAAAACACATCTGTAGAAATCAAACATTTGTCTATATATATTTCGTGATCGACAGAAGCGGATCTAGGATTTTTCAGGGTTATACAGGGTTGAATGCGGTAGATAGTCAGGCATGGACAAGTTGTTCGTTACTGAATTCAGTTCGCTGGTAAAAAGCGAAAATAATTTCATTAGAGGTCGTGCAATGGTAGTGATCTGCTTAATGGTGAAGTCACTACTATGTAGTAATCCAGCAGTTGTCCTTTGACTGAAATCGAAAATGTGCAAATCTAAGCTGCCGAAAATATTTATTATTCTTTTCCGTTTTGCATAATGCAAAGCACGTTGATCGCAATCGATCACTATTGCAAATCTCTGTCACTTTGCTTGATTATATTAGAAATTTTTCTACACATAGGTTTGTGCGCTTATTAGATTCAAATTTAATCCCAGTCATTAGAAGTATGTTCACTTTAATTTGAATTCAAAACTCTCTGTATTTGCTGATATCGTGGCCAACCAATTAGTTTTGGACAATCAAACATTTCTCTTCTATTTATATGATCAATCAGATTTCTTCATCTCTTTTCTTCTGTTATCAAAGTCGTTTGGAATTAATATTTTCGAATTCGATCCCGAGTCTGTCCCGCTAAGTATAAATCTGTCTCGATCACGATTACGAAAAGTAACTACTCAACAGAATGATTTTTAAAAATGAAATTTATGCCGATCCTATATAAACTCGTACTTTTCTGTCTCCTAGGGACTTTTTTCGCATGTGAGGAACGTATAGAAAAGTACATAGTAAAAATTGATTCGACACTTAATCTAAGCAGCTGTTCGACAAAACTGAGAGAACAGTTAGCTTTTTTCTTTTTCTAATATATTATTTTTTATTTTTTGATATCTCGGAAAAACATCGGATTCTAACGACTGTTCTATAACGAATGAGCCTCTCCGTAATTTGGCAATATCTGTTTAAAATTTCTTTACTTCATGTTCGGTTTAAAATAACTCCGATTTAATTATGTACGAAACTATTGACTTGGAACATAAGTTTTACATGTTTTTGCTGATTTTGGCAAATTTGAGGTCTTGTATCTCGTGATTGGGAAATGATGGATGTCTAAAATTTTCAGTGTAGATAACGTCATAAAGACTTATCTACACTAAAAATTTCACTCGTCTATCACTTTTCAATCATAAGATACAAGGCCTCAAATTAGCTTAAAACACAGGAAAAACGTGCAGAACATATGTTCCAAGGTTGTACTTAAAGCATTTGTCATTTTCTTTTCTCAATTATCAACAATTATTTCTTGCAAAGTTTTTTCTATATATGCTTTCGGTCTCGATTCAATACATTCATTGACTGTCGAGTTGGATTACACTGGAAAGAGTATGTTCTGTGCATTTTTCCCTTAGTGATCATCTGAAAAGTCCTTGGTTAGCAATTATAATAAGTTTTCCATAACACTATTCATAGTAGTTAGCATGCATGTTCACAACATAATATCCTACATGATGGAGAGTGATCTTCGTGAGCAAACAATGTGTATTACAAATTTTTCTACTTGTATATCAACATGCAACTATATTAATGTACTTTTTCATCATCTCGTCCCATTTTGTATTCAAATTGTTTCGACTACGATACTTATTATACTTCTTGCACGTAGTTGTTGATGTGCAACCAATGATCATGAGACATTTATCGAAATTTTCAAATGACAATTCAAAAATCAACAAAAATTATATATTACTCCATCAATTATTGCACTGAGTGGTCTACCACAAATAATTATTTCGCTTAGTTTTTCATGCACAGAATTGGCAACATGGAAAAAATATCTACTCTTGACCGCTTATTTACTTTCGTTTGCACCACAATTACTCTATTTTATGTTTTTTGTATTACCATTAAATAGCTATTTAATGAATTTCAACAAATGTGCCTTTCAAAGATGCGATTGTCCCTGTTAATTTTGAATCAAAAAGAACAGAACACTGTTATATCGGTAACCTTATTTCATTCATCGATGTCGTTATGTTGATTAATGGATAGATTAATCGTTAAATATATAACTTCTTTCAGTCGTTTCTTTTTCTTACAACGCATTTATTTTTCTTTAACAAGAGTCGATGATACCTTGAATTTATATTTTTGGCTATTGTGAGTATGTTGTGTAATTTCGAAAAAACAGATCGTTTTTCATATTTTCGTATTCATATTTCGCATTGTATGATCCTTTTAGTTTATTATACTTCTATTTCATCGATATGTGTTACTCCGCAGTCACATTCTATATTGACGAGTTTGTATTTGTCTGTGTAGTTGTATTAAAATAAAAATTATACTCAGATATTTTAAAGCTGCTTTTTTTTGTTTCTCTAAATCTTGTTATTATACTGTACCAATTTTTCTTGCTTGTTTAATTTTTGGTTCCATATTTGATACAATACTTCGCTTTACTAATTGTTGATGGTAAGCCTTATAATTTAATAGGGTATCTATTGCAGCTTCTTTTCTAAATCATCTAATGTTGATCTTATCATCATTGCGATTTCTAGTTAGTCTTGTATCTACGACGTTGATCTTGTTCTTATTCTCAAATGTTAAACGGTATGAGTATGACTGTAGATGTGGACATGGTGCAGAAGAAGGTAAAATTCACACATCCAAACCCACCCTCATACCCACACCCGCACCCTTCACTCACATTCATAACCTCTTTGTCATATGAGTACCAGTTTGCCATGGGACAGGAATAGTACTCATCTACATCATTGTATCAACTGCATTCCTGCTATCAATAACATTTTGTATTAATATATCACAGAAAAGATAGTTTTTCAACATCAAAAAATGCATGCCTATGGTGAATACTTTATCTTTTAGTATCCAAATTTTGAAAAAAGCACATTACCTTTAATCGCGTGTTCATAGTTTACTTTGTTTTTTCTTCATTTTTGTCATAATTTAAGTTATTTATTGTGATATACTTTCTAAAGATGAAAACCTTATGGTAAGAATGGGACTAGGGTAAAGAAAAGATTCACATTGACACCAGTATCCATCTTGAACTTTTGTCTACTACTTTACTCTCGCCAATCCCATACATGATCATGGAAAAGAATATTGAGGACCCAACTAGAAATAAAACAAGTACGATTGAAATTCTAGTCCGATGGTTTATAAACAGTAAACTGCATAACATTATTTCATTATATACTCTAGTTTTATTTCATGGGCGGCGCGAGGTCAATTTTTCAGGGGACGCAATAAACCTTAGAATGAGACTATACTACCCCCGTCTCCGTATCACAAAGTACAGTTCGCCAGTAAAAGTTTTTTTTTTTTCTTGAATTTAACTTCTGGTGATGAAAGATATAGTATTGGAGACTTGCTTATTAATAAATCTGACAGCATATTAAGAGTTTGAAGGCACTGTAACGCTTTTTACTGAGAACAGGTTTATTCAAAACGAGTTAGCAAAACTCAAGGTTTTTTTGTTATTAACTTTCGCTCACTGATAATTGGGTTTTCGACTTGTTGCCCATGTGAAAGATTGTCTAACATTTTACCAGCTATTTCCTTTTCTAGAAATTACAGACGAAAAAATCAGTTGTGAATGTTGCAGTCTTCTCATTGAAACTGTTTATTTAACTATTTATCTTAGTAGCTAGTTGATCTTCTTTATAAGTACGTTCTTATATAGTGGTTATAGACGGAAGCAAAAAGAAGTACAAATTTATATTACTTAATAATCAAAAGTTCAGAAAATATGGGAAAATAATATAAACGGATGATTCATGACTCGCAGAAGCTATCTCAACACATTTTTGCAAATTATCTCTTGAGAATCAGCATCTCGTGTAGTATTGTAAGTTAACAGTTAAGTGTTTTGTATATGAGTATTACTGATAGAAAAAAGTGCATTCTCGTTCAAGAATTATATACAAGTATTTTATTTATTTTCAAAATATTCTTTTTCTTTCATCTTTTTTCGATACAAAATCAGTTGCAATAGCATCAATATCAATTTCATAATCTTTTTCTATATTTATTAATGCTAAAGATGTTAATCGTTCTTGACTAGTTGTATTTCTAATATATGTTTTAATTCGTCTTAACGACGAAAAACTTCTCTCACATCCACATACATTTACAGATATCGTCCATAAAATTTGTAATAATTTATTCATCGTTACTAGTGACAAATGGAAATTTTGTTGAACGAAAAATTTTGTTGATGATGCTAAATTTCATTCTTTTTTTCCATCAAGTGCTATTTTGTATAATCGTTGCTCTGCTCTTAAATCATCATAACTTATATGGTAAAATCGAGCAACTTCTTTTAATTCATCTTCAATCAAAAATACTTTTGTCAAGAATAATTTCTCACATAAAATTACAACAGACAAATTGTTTTCATCAAATCTTTCTTTAATAGATGCTACAATACTATCTAAAACTGCATAAAATGATTGATCACGATATTGATCTTGAATTGTTGAATTAATTGTAGTAGCATCACCACCTCCAAAACGTAATGGAACTTTCCGTTTGCGACGTTCCTGAGATTCGTCAATATTATTAGCTATACAGATCTTCATCGATTCATCCCAAATTCTTTTAAATTCATGTTCATCTCGTAATGATTGAAGTGAATCGATTGTAACTTTAACTTTGGCTAATGCATCGGTTAAAGATATATTTGAATGTTGTAAAAATTTTGATAATATGTGTGTAATTAAATAAATTTCACTCATCATGTGAATATGAAAAACAAAATCAAATGTTCTTATTACTTGTAATAAAATGAATGAATCACCAGTTTCAATTAATTCCAATGTAGATAATATTTCTGAATATCGAATGACAATAACTTTTAAACTCTCATACCTGCAAGTCCAACGAGTATCACATAAACTTTTTAATGGTACCAATACAAAACCAAGTTCTTTTTGTAGATCTTCGAAAACTTTATGACGTTTTGGTGATCCTTCGATAAACTTGTAGAGTAATTTAACAACACCAAAACTGTTTCGCACATGTACAACAACTTCTGAAACATCTACTAAACATAAATTTAATACATGCCCGTTACAATGCACGTATAAAGCTGTTGGAATAACTTGAATAAGATGAGTGGCAACACCTTTACATTTACCTCGCATTGAACTGGCACCGTCGAAACATAATCCTACAATATATTTAGTATCTAAATCGAGTTTCTTCAACCAAAGCATTAATAAATCAAATAAACCTTCTTCGCTAATATCAGAAGCTCTTTCAAATCCAATAAAACGTTCATAAACGTTGAATTGATCATCAGTATAACGAATTACTAAAGATACTTGCTCATGACGTGATATATCAGATGTTTCATCAATCATTACTGAATAATATTTTGATGTTTTAATTTCAGATACAATTTGAGATAGTATATGTTGTTGTATTATGGATAATATTTCATTTTGAATTGAATGGTGGATGTATTTTAATGCCCCCAATTTTTTTCTGATTAATTCATTTTCTGTACGACGAAATTCTAGTAATTCGAGAAGATTACCTAAAAAATAAAGAGTGTGTTGTATGTAAAATAATATTCGCGTGAGTGACTCGACTATTTTTTATAATTTTTGTCATCGAGCAACATATCTGTTGCTCAATAAATTACCTTTATTTTCTGATTTATCATTTTCACGATGTCCTCTAAACAATAAACCTGGTATAGCAAGAAAAACGATTGTTCGAATTATTTCGATAAGATAATTTCGATTTTCTAATGTTATTTTTTTATGTTCAATATCTATTAACTTTAAAACATCCATATTATCTTTGTGGTTTTTAACAGCATTAACATATGAATCATTAGCCTGTTTATGAGATATACTTGATTGATATTTGTTAAGTTTCCTAACACCCATTGACCAATTGTTAAAACCATTTTTGGTAAATGCATCATCACAATGTCCCTGTGAATAAGAAAGTCTACAAACAAAACAATATGCCTTTTTAGTCTTTTCGCTAAACTCGATCCATTGATAAACTTTATACCAATAAAGACAAAAATGACGATGATTAATTGTTGGAAAAGTAGTAACTGGTTGATATGGACCTAATAATAAAAATTCTCCAGCTGCTTCTGGGCCTCGACCAGGATCTCGTTTAAATGAATTAAGTAGTGAACTTTCAGATAATAATTCAGCACTATTCGTTGTTGTTGTTATAAATCTGTTTTCGTTGAGATTTAAATTTCCACTGTCTTGATTAAAACAGGTAACGGTTGATGAAGATAATGATGTTGAGGAATTATTATCGAGTTCATTCAATACTATTATTTCGTTTGCATTAATAATATCTTTATCTGTAGCATCAATATGATGTGATTCACATGTTCCATGTGAAGATGTTGATTTGTTTGTAAAGTAATAAGAAAGTTTATTTTTATTAGACATTTTGATTTTATATTTTAAAAAGTAAATTATAAATATTGTTAAAAAGAAAACAAAAAAAATCAATGAAAGCTGAATGGCAAGCCCATTATTGTTGGAGACAAGCAGCAGAAAAGATTAGTTATTTCCACCAATCATATGTTGGTTAATCCAACTTCAATTCTGTCGGTGAGAATAGATGGGGATTATTTAAGTATCAGGTGATTGGTTTAAGGAAGACGAAACTCAATCTGAGAGTACATTAGTGGTTTTGGTCGAGCGATACATTTTAGATATCGCTGGCACTGAAAAGAGGGTGTCAAAAATCACCAACAAAAAATTAATTATGTATTACTTACATAATCTCATTCGGGTATGGATAACACGAAATGCATTCATGACACTAGTCAATCCTCATATATTAACTTATACAAAGTCGTATTGAATATAAGTGTCTTGAATTATATGGTTTTACCATAATATACAAAAAAAGCTGGAATAACTAGGGGACGCAATAAATTTTTATTGCTGCCCCTAATTTTTTGTAGGGGACGCAATTGCTGCCCCTGGTGGTGCTGGTGCGCCGCCTATGTTTTATTTGGGTATACTTTTGAGTGTCTTGTCCTCAAAACTACTTGCATCACTTATCATATGAAGTCTTGTTATCTTTCCTGCTTGCTCTTCTAACACCTACATTTAACAAGCATTTTGTATTCTTCTTAAACGAAGTTGATATCACTACTGCTTATTCCACGACAAAAACTGACCGTAAAAATCTTATATTCTCAATTCTACCCAAATAAAAAAGTACAGTTCATGATGAGATCTTGCTTCTTAGAGTCTTGGTGTGATTATGGATCTTCATTTCAACGACACTAGTAAACCTACACTCAACTTCGTTGCGTATGTCTGTTTTTGTTTGTAGCTTGACGTAAACACTTCGTTTGCCTCATTTTCTAATCGCTACTATTTTTATATTTGCCCTGCCCTTAGGAGGCAGACTCTATTCATTTTCACATCCCTCAGCTAACTTGGAAAGACTCTCTTTCTCTCATTGTTGACTTGCAGCTAAACAGCTTAACGTGAAGAAGGATACTAACATAACGAATAAATCATTTGTCATCTTTTTTGATGACTTTTCATGTTTTGTTCATAAGTCATCCGATGCGTTTGCTATCATATTTTAATATAACTACAACGTCTCCTCTTCGTCCATATACTATTTGTTTGTCACTCACAAAGTCAAGTTTTCGTGTTGCATTGATGCATTTTTTCTTAAGGTCACTTGATTACAATTTTCACTTTCTTTTATCAAATGAAGATCGATCTCTTGGCTGGCCTGAAGATCGACAGATCAGTGTGAGATCTCTTTTGATATGTTTTTCTTTGTTTTGAGCAAAAATGAATACATTTCTCATTTTCTCTTGGTTTTTATTTTCTAGATGTCGTTGAACACCTGAGAAAAATTTCATGTATTATCCTTCACTGTTAAACGTATTCTCCTCGAAGTGTTCTTCGTCTGCAAAATTTTTTTCTCTTCTTAACGTCAGTCTTTATATACAATTGACTATAGCAGTGCAATCAGGTAAGAATATGAATATGCAACAGTTATGATGCATTTTCAATCGAAATCGAATATAATTCATGCATCTTCATCTCATTACTTTATTACGCTCTCGTTGGAAAATAATTTATTGTAATCAATGATTGTCTTATTTGTTTTTAATATGAGTAGCAATTGTCTGATTAAAGCTGTAGACATTTCATTAATTTAAAACCAAATGTCCACATTGTCGAATGACAAATATAGTCATTTTGAAGTTGCTCAAAATGTCTATTTAATCAAACCTAATTAAGAAATTTCACATTTACATAGAAAGCCGACCTCAAATGTTTTAGCGATCGAGTTATTTAATTCTTTCTATGTCAAACTGTATTTAGTAAGTGTTTTTACAAAAGGAAATAATTGTGCCAAGTTCCAACTGCTACTTTTAATTAAAAACGCCTACAAGAGAATCTCTAAAATCTACATTTCGTATTTTTCTCTTCTAAATTGAATGTAATTATCAAAAACACTAGGTTTCACCCATTTTGAATATAATGTATGAAAACCAAGAATTATTGGCTCTACGTGCCATTCCACGCAAATCTTGAACTATTACAGCTTCATACTCCGAAGGAATTGATAAATTTTACTGTTTGAACGAGAACATTAGTAGAAGTTGATGCGTACTAGAAGCCAAGAACTTAACCAATCATTATTTAGAAAACATTCTCATATCAGTTTTTTTCATGATCATTTTTCCAATGGAAAACTCTTTAGAAAGATTTTCAAGTCTGAATGATGAGTACTCATGGAGATATGAGTGAAATATTGACGTCACTTCCTATTTGGAAACACCGATTATTCTGTATTTATTAAAAAACGATATTCCACGCTTTTCTTTTCAGATGTCAACATTTATGACTTTCATTTATTGAACTGAGCAAATCACACTGAGATGTTTTCGTTCAAAGTACTGAATCTCCAAGCTTTTTCTTTTCCTTTTATCGAATTTACTACCAAGGAACTTGTTTCGCCATACTTTTATTTATTTCTTTTTGTTGTAGTATATTCACTACCTCGTCGTATGATTTGCTTTTTAGATTTTTTGCTTTGTTAATCTTTTCACTAGTATCGATCAAAAACAATATCCATCATGGGCAGCAAAGGCTCCAAAAAAGGACCACCAAAGGAACTCACACCTAAACGTTAGTTAATTATTTCTTTCGTTAACATTGTCATGATGATTTTCTATTTAAGAACTTGCAATGCTCAAAGCAACTACCCAATATTCAGATAGAGGTAACAAAATCCACACTATTGGTGTGATCTAGCCTTTCTATTTGTTTTTTTTTCTTAGAAATTCAAGAGTGGCACGCCGTAACTACTTGTATATATACTTGTATTCGTGAAATTCATTTTGTTTCTAGAGTTTTCTTCGTGAGTCTCCAACGGGCAAACTCAACAAAAAACAATTTGTTGAAGCATACAAAAAGTTTTATTCAGGTGGCAAAGCAGATACTTACTGCCAGTAAGTCAATAGATTTATTTTCTGTTGCATCTTGTCTTACTCTCTTACTTAAGGCTTGCCTTTTCAATGTTTGATGCTAATCACGATGGAGTAATTGATTTCAATGAATATCTCCTTGCTGTTGCTGCTACATCTCAAGGTGATTTAGATGATCGACTCGAAGTTGCATTCCATATGTGAGTTCGATTGAGTTTGATTACACATAATTTTTCTGTCGTACAGTTGCGATACCTCAGATGACGGACAAATCGATCGAAAAGAATTGGCTGCAATGATTTCGGCTGCGGTATAATATCTATATTTCTACTTTCGTTCTTCTTTTTCTATGAGGCAAAATATGTTTATTTTAAGTATGATCTACGGGGCGAAACCAATCGAAAAGGAGACAATGATCCTAAGAAGCGTGCTGCAGAAATCATTAGCAGAATCGATGTTGGTGGAGATAAAAAACTGAACAAGTATGAGTTCATAGCTGGGTATGTATATGGTGACGTTCTCAAACATCCACTAACCATGTTCTTCTTTTAGATGCAAAAACGATCCAGCTCTCCGTCAGCTACTGGCACCTAATGTTTGAAAACCTTTTTCATTATCGATAGACTTGGTGTTTTTTAGTTGTTCTATTTCCACGTAACACAAGTGAAATTTTACTTAAACTTCCTGATTGTATTCTTTTTTTTTAATAATCGAGAATATGCACTAAACTACATCGTTGAATCGAAGAGTGTTGTTGTTCTAAATGCTAGACTGTTTTCAGAAAGAATTCAAAGTTCATTTGAGTATGGTCATAACATGATGAAAACAGTTATACTTTATAAAAAATGCTGTTAGGATTTTCAGGTAAGTGTAAAAAAGTATTTTTGAAGTTTTAGTTAACATTTGACAAGAAAATTTTTGCATATACTTTGATTTTTCGTCTTGTTCATGGTTTGATGATTTTCTCCTTCATTTTATGATCAGTTATTTGAAGCAACGTCTCCTTTGACAGAAGATGAATTATTGAATAAAATTGGATATTTGGGTCTTTTAGAAATAGATGTTACCAGAAGTGTGATGATGACCACAAGGAATGATGATAAGAGAATCTTTTGGCCTATTGATTCTGAACGTGAAATAATATCTCATAATGGATTGTTGATTTGGCGTAGACCTGAGGACTGTTTCGCTTCTTATTCTTTCATATTGCATGCATATACGAACTATTTGACTTATTCTTTATTTTATGATTTCCTCTCTTAGTCAATCTATAAACAATGTGCGACAAACAGTGTTGTATATTAAAAAGTTGAATGATAAAAATAGCTAACCTGTTTCTCAAATATTGTTCAAGACAAACTGACATAAATTCTAGATTCGATCCTCTCAATTTACTAATTAAAATAATCAATATGCACTAGACTGATTTGTGAATCACAATTTTTGCAACTAGATTACGATATCATTAATATTGCTTAACAACATTGAACTGCACTTTTCTAATTGTTCGTATTCGTCGGATGAATTTCGTGTAGGTTTGTATCACTGCTGAACAAGCCATTTTTATCTACTAAAAGCCCATCAACACCATATATTAAATCATGTTTTCAATCTTGAAGAGATCACACAGGCTCGATAGACACCCAGTGGTACCTTCATGGAACTTCTATAAGAAGTGGATTTAATTATATAAGTGAAGCGTTTCTGTATTTGCTCAAGAAATGACAAAGTAGTTATAGCGTACTACAATAATGAGACCTTCAGAAGATTGGCTTACCAGAGAAATATTGAATGACGAATGTGTCGATTTACTTCTTCTGCTCTCAGATCAATCATCTCCAGCAGTAAAAAAAGCCATAAATCGACAGCTGTTTACGATGAACATTTACAGTACTCATATATCATACTTAACAGTGTATTACGATCACCGTGTGTATCTGTAAACATTCGTTAACGTTGACGACCAAGTCTCGTCGAATACAGTGGTCTGATTATCAGATTTTGGCTCTAGAACAACTGAGCTTTTTAGCATTTTTTTTTCAAATATGCTAAAAGTAGTTCAAATTTTCAATGAATGGTTGAGATTTGTACTACTCTTTGCCTTACAAGGTTCTATTCAATCACATATTCTCTAGATTTTTTTGTGAATATATTAATGAATAACAAATCCTTGAGTCAAATTTTTCTCGGAACTTTTTTCTGTTGATCATATGTCGTTTATTTTAGGATTTTCTTTTACCAAGTGTGAAAAATGACGACAATAGTGATAAAATGTTGAACCTCGTTATGCTGAGCGTTTCAATCCAGGAGGATTAGTTTGCTGTTCAAGCTGATATGCTCTATTAACTCTATCTTCTGAATAAACTGCTGCATGAATCTATAGAAATGGTGCTTATATTGTTCGATTCACATCAGCATATCATGTTTTCGTTGAAGATCTTGCTAGTGAAAATTTCCTACTTGAACTTGAATTTGTGAGATGAACTACATGTACACAAATTGAACTGTAGTGAGATAGCAAAAACGAGTTCAACTTGTTGAGTGCGATATAAAAAAGCATCTAACAATGAAAACTACTGGTTTGAGATCATGTTTGCACTACTATCTTGTTGACGTAATATCTTCCGAGATACGATAATATTACCAAGCAAGCCGTTTCATTAATTCGAATATTTTTTATTCATAATGTTTTAACCTTTTTTTTCTAGCCTTTTAACTAGCGTACCATGTTTTACAAGATTTTAATCTTCATTTTTTGCCATTAATATTCTCTTATCAGTTTATCACAGATAACCAATAGAGAAAAAAAAGCGATCAATAAAAGCATTCCTACGTGAAAAAAACAGATATAATCGAAACTCGCCCCTTTTTCTGTAATGTCTTTCATTTCTTCAACAAACTCAAGTAAAATTCTAGGTCTCATTATGTTTTTCTCATAATACGTCCAACTATGCCTATAAGCCAGTCTAAAACAAGTATTGATAGACTCTACTATTGATTAAAAATCGATCAAATTACATTTCAATTGATCAAACTGTGTCCAACGACAATTGATCATCGATAGTTCACTTTGGCAAAGAAATCAATGACTCTCGTTCAATATTACGTTGAGTCATCCATGTAGAGCCCTTAATAGTTATTGGGATTGTTACTAAGATATTGATACTCTCTTCAGCCATACCCACATCTTCAAATAGCATGCAATAGGTGGGGTGGGTGTGGGTATAGATACGAGTCGAGAAAAGACATACACTCACACCATACTCACCCTTTTGAGGGAAGAACTATCGAGAAGAATTCCTTTAGGCTTTGTAATATCTCGATATTCTTGATAGAATAAAACATAAATAAGTCGAAATGGAAGATATAACTTCGGGTGACTCTCTTGTGACCTTATGAATGACGATTCAATCTCCACGACGAAGAGAGTCTAAAGTAGTTCAGAAACTGAATCAAGTTATCTTCGTATCATCTGATAATATGTAATCTTTTGAAAGTGGTAAGTGACTAAAATAAAGTACAAATTTTGTAAAAGTGTAATTTGTTAAAATTTTTCCCGACGAATTAATGTAGACAAAGAAATAATTAAAAATGAATACAATCTATTAGATGAAACTTTAATTGACTTTTTGCGTTTGACGTTGCAATTCTGATCGATTTATTGTCTTCAAAATCCATTGTAAACCATTAATAATTAATATCAACAAACTTCCAAAAAAAGTTATGATCTTTATCAAACCAAAATAACAAGCCAATGTCATCACGAAATCATTTCGTCTCGGATATATTTCGAGTACATATTTTTCTGCAACATTTTCAATATAATCTGATATCATATATATCAGTGGTACAATTACATATTGGCATCCTTTTCTCAAAGCCAAATTTGGTAGAGATAATGAAAGAAAAAGTAAAATTGGTAACACAAAATCAGTATAATTAGCTAATCGATATGCATTACGTCCGGTGTCTCCCAAATCTGAAAGCACTTGATATCCTTCGTCTGGTGTGTAGTAACTCATTGTATCAAGAACAATTGGTATTGTATTCAAACCCACAGACATAGCACATTCTCTTAATGGTTTGTTAAAAAGATACAAGTTGAAAATCGCCAAAGACCATGATAATGAAATTATGTAAATATTCGCTATAGGTTTTAACACACGACAAAGTTGTTCCATCTCGAAATTGATCACTTTTTTTTGTATTCACTTTCGAGCACATGCAAAAGAAAAACAGAAATTTTTTTTTTGTTTATCGTGACAGATAAGGTAGTTGCTTACACGTGTTTAAATTCAAGAACAAACTTTGTTTTCTTCCATAGTTTATCATGACAAATAAAAAAAAAACAGTATTTTATACAATGCTTGGAAAAGCAGAAAACTAGATGAAAAATACAAAATGTCATTTTCATTGAATTTATAATTTTCTATCAATACTTGTCAAAGTCTACTGAATTTTACAGCTGCTACTGTACTAGTGTTTCGTTGCCATTGAATAGGTGTCACACTCAAGCTGAAATATCGAGTATGGTAGGTAATGCTAGCGATTATCTCTGTGAATTGGTATGACTGATCTCAGCTGATTGTTGAATAGTTTATGGACCATGACGCATTGTGACAACAATAGTATCGTTCAATGGATCTCATATGATAGTAACATGAATGGAATATCCGAAGATCATAATACATATACTACTTACCCGTTCCGTAATATAAAGTTCAATATGATTCGTAGTATAGATGTTACCACTTTGACCAAAAACTTCGGAACTTTGTTATTTATTAGATTTCATTTTAGAATTTTGATAGATGGTTGAACTGTGCTTCTCTTTTTAAAAAGAATCAGCCGTTCATTATGCTTCAGCACAGAAGTATATGAAAGGTGAAGCAATGACACAAACGATTTCAGATATTCGAAGAAGCATTTAAAATCTTAGACCTTATCGAAAAAAGTCCTTAAAATTTCGGTATCTCAAAAACAATGATTTAAGACAATGAATTCTTTCTAGGTTTTTTTCATGCTTCATCTATATCTATCTATGACCAAATGATGAAGGAAAAACCTGCTTGAATATTCGAGTATGTATTCTCGTCAGTCACTCAGATTAATATATACATATGTTTGTAGAAGCACACAGACAATCCTTAAACTTATAAAAAGAACATATAAGAGTTATATTCAAAGTCCAAGTAGAGATGAAGGGTTCATTTCATCACATTGACATTAATTTTTCGATGTCTTGATCTACGTGATCGAATTTTTTGCTTTTTATGTGAATCTGATGTAGCATTTATTTTGTCGTTTGTATGTTCTCCATCATTGTCATGAATTATAGTTGTTTCATTTCTTTTTCTTGATTTATTATTCTTAGAGAAACTTCTCACTCGGGTAACGGTAATACTACCGATTCTTGATGAACGTTCTTCTGTGATTGGTTGACTAGGAACGTGTTCTTTTATCGATCGACTTTGTCGTCGTTTTACGGCTTCAAGAGAATTAAGTTTTGTTAATTGAGGTTTTTGAACGGCTGATGTTTCATCTTCATTCGGTTTAATAACATGCATAGGTTCATCGTAATACATTGATGCATCCACATCTTCAATAGTTATATCTCCACTTATATTATTAGTTGTATTAATAGTATTACTTCTATCTTTTTTGTGAGTATCATTGAGTTGCGCACTGTTGTCAACCGTTGATAGTTGTTTTCGAGCATTTTTAGTAATACTATTGTTGTGATGATAATCGATATTATGGTTTCTGTCATTTTCACTAACGGTAAAAGATATCTGATTTTTTGATAGGCTTAAGAATGATGTCGGTGCACTTAAACGAAGAGCATCTATACTATCTTGATTATTTGATATCTTGCGAAATAAATAATTGTTATTCAATGTTTGGAATGGAAGATTTCGATTAATGAATGATGGCAGTAATTGAGAACACTTTTGTTGTTCAATTCTTTCTTGTTGTTTTCCTCCTCGACGACGCCTTGCTGCAGCACCCCTATTAGCAAGACACATGTTCAACAATATTTCCTTTCTACTCAATATGCTATGTATTTATGTTTTTTACATCAAACGTAAGAAAGAATGACATACCAGAAAAAATGATAGAGCCAACAACAACAACAGCATAATGCTAGTGATAATCCTAACAATGATAAACCAACAATCAGTGGAATGTTCATGTTATTATTATTTGTTGGTACTGTTGTCGTTGAAGCTCCAGCGACTCTGCAAAGAAAACAACGAATCTCTAGATTAGTTCTGAGTAGTAGACTAAAACTTACGTTGTTGTCGGACAATTTGGAGATGATGTTGTGACTGTGAATGTTACACAATATTGTGTTGAACGTACCAATAAACTTATAAGTACAAAAGCAACATTTATGATAAACAACGAATAGCAAAACGATAAAAGTTTTACCTATTATATGCATATGCACACATGACTTGTGTTCCAATTTGACTAGATTGTGGTGTCCAAGTTAATTGTATATATGATAATGTATTGGTTGTCGAATTTTTCACATTACCAGCTGTCATACCAGAAATTTTTTTTGATATAATAACTTCAGTGATTGTTGCACTGGAATTGCATAAATTTGTTACATATAGAGTAAAATTTGTTGTTACACCAACTTGAACTTCTAAACAATCTGTCATAGAAACAATGGTAGGCAATATTGTACATGATGGTGTTGCTTGAACATAAATTAAAATCTGAACTGGTACTGAACTCAATGGTTCCGTACTTGTTTCATTGATAAAATCTTCCACCTTTATAAAATATCAAATTATTTTAAAATTCTATTATTCAGAATGGTAAATACCTGTACAGCAATAGGATACCAGGTATTTGATATTAGTCCTGTAAATGAAATAGTACAATTGGATAGAGTTGTATCATTTGGTAAACGACTTGAATAACATATCTCACTACATTCATTAAATGATGCATTGCCTTTATTGACTGCCCATCGACAACGTACATCATCACCTGTATTGACATCTGACGTAGATATATCAATGAGAGTTGTTGTATTTACAATAACATATTGAGGTGAAAGGATATTTGCTACTGGTGGAGTATTAATTATACCATCAGGTCGTAAACGAAGATCAATTAAAGATACAATAGACCAATCAAGATCACTTGTTGAAGTAGCATATAAATCTCTCCAAGCACTTCCTCTATATGCTATATAAAAATATGCACTAGTATTAAGTGTAATATTGACTGATCGTTCACTTGATACTGTGCCTAATGTAGAACTATAAGAAGTACAATCAGTTAGAATTTCGATAGGTGCACTTGAATAGCCACCATCAGTTGAACAATTAGCGATGCATGTAAGATTTGCATTTGTTTTACCACTTGAGACTGGAACATTTGTTGTACAGGACACAGTAGGATAAGTCCATGAATAACTTTGTGTAATAGTTATGACAACTGAAGATGAATTAGCATAAGGATCAATAGGTGCCCAGCTAATAGTACCTCCATTGAAATGACTTGCATGCATACCAATTAAATAAATGAACAGAAATTGAAGAAAAATAATCATTGACAATGTTTTTTATAGTTTTTTTTTTATGAATGAAAATCTGAAATAAAATATTTATACAAGTTCTAACATTGTTTTTATATTTTATTATTTATCAGTTGTCGATATGGAACTGATAATATCAATTTGAAGATGTTAAGAAAAGAAAAAAACAAAACATGTTGTCAAAATTTTTCTGTAACAAAGCGTGTAATAACAAAGAAACTATCGTAGAAAAATAGAAACTTTATTCTTTTACTAAATTAATGTGAAGCATATTATATGTCGAAAGTAAAAACAATCGAACTCGAAGAGGTTATGAATACAAAAAATTTCAATATTCTTAAAATAGATTGTTGCTTCCTGATAAGAAAATTAAACAAACACAGCTCTATATTCATAAAACACGCGATACATAATCTTCGAACAGAGCTTTTTATACGTCTGTGTAATGAGCAGTAGGCAGGCATAAGAGAAACTTTCTGTTAACTTTGTTATTTTTTAATTATTAGAAGCAGTTGTAGTATGAACAGATCAATCGACAATAAAAAAAAAAGCAACCTGTAGATCATTGAATTACCGATCAACAGGTATAAATTCACTAGAAAAGAATCCGCAAAACTATCGGTGTATTTTTAAATAGAGACTTGTATAGTTTCATTTATATAGATCAACCAACTTGTATTATTTACATTCAGGACGTTGAGTTAATTAAAATGAATTGTATAATCCGAACACAAAAAAAGTATGAAAAAAAGATCAAAAGAATATAATAAGACTAGAAGAAATGGAAAAATATCAAACAATAGATGTATTGTGAACGAAAATTCATCGTAGGAATACTTAGTCAATTACATTTAATATTCTGAATAAATGAGTTGATCAAAGTTTCTATATAGTGCTTGAGTTCTCATGTTCTGTAATGGACATGTTAGATATTTGGTAGTAGAAAAAAAAATGAACAACGTAAAATGATAGAAAGAATAATACAGCTTCTTTTTCAATTATGAATTGGCTGCATTGTTTTTATTAAAGACAGTATGATGATCGAAATCGATAAAAAAAGAAAGCAACGTTTGTTGATAAAGAACACAAAAGACAAATAAAAACAAAAAAAGTATATTCATTATACACATCATATATTTTTAGAAAGTAGATGGCCGAAACATCATAAGACATCATGCGTTTTCGCAAAATAATGGTAGATGTTTTTGTCAATCATATTCAGTGAAGCGAACAACCGGGCAGGTTTACAACACTTGTAATAGAAGACTGTTCGTATACATTATATATGCCTAACCATCAATATTTTCTTTTAATTGTGAGAGATTTATTGATATTATCTAGTGATTTTTGAAACTTTGGTATTTATTAGTAACAAAAATCTGCACCGCACCTATAAAACGGGATGAAGATGATACGAAGAAAGTGTTTCATTTTTGAATACTCGCGTAAGAGTAACAGTATGAAGCTCAAAATATCATCAAAGAATATTTAGTTAATTAGGCAAGATAAAACCAGACATAGATATGTAATAAAAGAGAATTCGTCTTAAACTTAGCATATTCTACAATTATATTTATACTAAGTTAGATTAAAGATGAATTTCAATATTATGCTCGTCACAATAAAATTCATTAAGTTTTGAGTTAGGTCGCTTTGTTATTAGGATAATGTTTTAACCAACATTGCTTAAAGTTTATTTTAAAAATGTAACAGATGACGATCAAAATAAATTAGCAAAAACGAACGGTATCTAATAAAGAACAAATCTGTCAATGCTAAATCCGCGCTGTGTAACTTTCATCGTTTGATGTACATTCGTCTACTCTGATCTTCGCTTTCAAGTGAACGACGCACATCTCTAACTGATCAGTGATGTAATTCAGATAGTATTGTAGACAACATATTCTACCATCAAATAAGGTCTTATTTTCATTATGGCTTAATATATAGACTTTCAGACTTGTTTCTTTTGAAATATTGTCATTCAATAGGTATTTTTTCCTTCTATAACCCTGTATCTCGGCTGAATACATATGGTACGAATCGATTTTATATGAAAGACATATGAATGTGTCATAGATTATAATATATGTGCCATTGTACGCATGTCTTCTATCGAGAAATCTAACGTATGCATGCAAGATCATATTACAAGGAATTGTTCTTGAGGACAAATGCTCGCTAAACTTACTCTAAATGCTTTCGACTCAGACTATATACATGTATATTCATATGATGAAAAGAAGACTTTATTGTAACGAAAATGGAGCATAGTATGTTTCGTTACTATTGCAGTATATATTTTATTTTTGATCGACCTGCGATTTCATACAAAACATGAGCTTATATACGAGAGAGAGAACGAAGAGAAGAGAGGAAAGAATGAATAGAGGACAGAGTGAATGGGCAGTTACTATCGGTGATGAGGTCAGAACGTCTAACTCCATAGTGATCGAATGTTGAGGCATCAATGCACCCACATATGATGCACACAGGATATGACTTTATTATCAACACATGTATCCTGTAATTAAGTGAAAATTTTGGAAATGATCGATATTTCTTGGAAAGTCTTCATAAGTTGTTAATTGTTGTTTTTGATGTATTACTATGCTACTATGAAAATTTCCATTGATTTGGAAATTTACCTCTTTGGAAATCTGACCACACTTCATGTACTTATAGAGATAATCGGTATATTTAAAAGAATTCTAACCATATGATGTTTCTCTTTTTGATCTCAAAAATAATTCGGAGAATGCAAGCATGTAGCAAAAATTTATTGAGTCATAATCCGAAAAATTTAGTGATTGATATGATGAATTATGGTAATGTTAAATTAGACAGTGAAATCAAAGGTTGGTTGAGATCAAATATAGGTATCATCCATGTTGTTGAAGCAAGAAATATGATCAAACCACCGAGAAGATCTAGCACGATACCAGTTGTGAACTAAATAAATTAAAATGCATAGGCATTATTAAACTAGTATAATATTTTTACTAGGTCCCAAGTTTGAATGTAGCCGGTAGAGAATATAACTGCATTTGGTTGAGATGCTTTATATATGCAACAGCAACAATGATTAGTGAAAAAAATAAACTCGTGTTTTCGGTAGGTATTCACCGAAATTTATCTGTATACTTACATATTGGCAAAAGAAATCCAAGTGACAGACCCAATGTTGACGGTAACAATAGTCTAGCTGGATGAATTTCAGTGGTGCTTGCCTAGAACAAATATTAATGAAACAGAAATTCCTAATGGTCGACTATTTACGTATGGATAGTTGTAGTCGTTTCTATACTTGTTTCGTTTCCTATATGGATATAACTCATCCGCTCTTGTCAGAGTAACTGTAGAACAGTTCATAAAAAATTTTTGAATCTTTCAAGGTAGATTGATCTTGATTGGTAGTAGATGAAGGTTGTACTAGACTCAGAATTACCAGATTCTCATTTCTTTGAGATATAAGGATCCTAATGGATTAATATGATTCCATTTTTCGGATGTAGTATGTCTAATTGACTTGAAATCTCTTTTGGAAGATCAAGATATGTATTGAGGTACATCGTTACCTTTTTGCCTATGACAAATTTTACAATGTCTACTGAAAACTAACGAATCAATATTTTTTAAATAAGAAAATGGAGGATAAATCAATACTTTCTCTGATGCTAAAAAATCGCATATTTAGAGACAGCCGCTAAAGTTGGACTTTTTAAGGATTATACAAAATCATGAAAACACCTTGTTTATATGCTTTTCAATAGAGAACATTTGAGAATAGTATTAGTGACAAAAAATCGAAATAAGAAAATCTGATTTTTTTTTTAGAAAAGAGATAAATATATGTTAAGACAAATACCAAATTTTCTCAATGGACTGATATATTCGCTAAATATTGCTTGGCTTCATTTACAAACTGAATGATATACTCCATGCAATCGAAACATATGAAAATTGAGTGAGAAAGATGATATTTTTTGGACATGACATACAATGAATTATTTTACAATCAATCAAAGTGTTCAATGCAATGTTCTTTCGTTTTATTTGAGCCGAAAATAATGAACCAGCGGTCAAGTTTCAGAATCCTTTTTCTTTCATACTGTTTTCTTATCATTCTTGGTATTTGATTAGTTAGAATGGCAAATACTGTATCATTAGTACAAATAAATGAAATTTCTCTAGATTTACATACCAATGTAGTGATGATGGGGAATAGAATGCTTGCTGTAGAAAAAAAATCAGTAAATTATCTTTTTGTTTGAATCACGTGTAACCATATGTGACATACCAACAGAAAGATTATTAATCATTTGTGTACATAGTTCACTTAAAACAATGATGGCCACAAGAATGACAATGCGTGATGAACTATGAAGAAAATGTAATGCACTACCAAGAAGATTCGATAATTTTGAGATCTAATATTAGAGAGAGAGAGTGAGAGGCAACAAAAATAGAGAGTAATCCATTTTCTTTTACTTGAAATGCTTGTGAAATTGATAGACCAGCACCGAGCAGTGTCAATGTTCCCCATGGATAATTCTTTGATAAATCTGTCCAAGAAATAATTGGTTTGTATTTATAATTTTCTAGCAATCAAAAGCAAAATGAAAAAAGTCTTTGAACCACAAAATTTACTTGAAAATGGATTATCATTCGGTAAGATCATTGTTAGAATACCGATCAATAAAGCCACTGTACCATTGGACACATATCTTCAAGATAGAGAAGTTTGAAAAAAGAAAAACACATACATCTAACATGAATTCATACCCAGATCGAAAAAGAACATTCCAACCACGTTGTCCTCCTGCCAAATCACGCGTAATCCACAATACGATTGCTGTGATAAAGAGTATCGAAACAACGACTTCATTCCACCTAAAAATGAATGCAGTTCTTCTTGGAGTGATATTATAAATTTTCGTAGTTAACAATAACACAGACTATTTTTCAGATCATTTTTATGAGCGTAGCATTCTCAGAATGTTCAACAAAGAAGTAACAACCTGTTTCATTCATTTTATCCATATAATCTCACAAAAAGTAGAATCAAAGCTGATGTCAATAAAAAAAATATCGATATGGAACAAGAGTGTGTACTTCTTTTTATTGAGTAATAATAAACAATTGATTTACCGTTAATTACTCTGTTGAATATGAAATTATTCTGAACTTTTCTTCTTTCGATATTTATATCTATTTCAACTTACCGCAGAAATCCAAGTTCATTGTATTGTTTTCGCAAAGTCTTTTTCAATCGCTTGTCTATGTCATTCGATGATTGATGTTTGCAAAAACGCCATTGAAATAAACTACCAATTCGTATGTTCAATTTTATTGAAAACGACAAAATTTGTTAACACTGATAACTCACCCATGAAAATTATAGCGAATTTGTAGCCATAACCAGCATGTTATCATCATAAGTACAACTACTGGAAGAACGAATATAAGATAATTGAGAAATGTAATACGAAAGTTAGTATTTGCATATTGTCTAACAAGAATTATATCATTAGTATTATTTGAAAAAAGAATTCAACAAGAGACTTACTCGTCTACAAATGCTTTAAGAAAAATAGTAGCTGCCGATCCGACAATAGTTGAAAGTCCACCATAAACTGAACCGTATGCGACACATAACATAAAACCTATTTTTTTTTGTTGATGAATAATTTGAATATTTTGATTTCTAGTAAATAATGTATCAACCTTTTCTCAATTTTATAACTTCTTCTGATGATGATTTTTCTTCTTGTTCAGCTGATTTTTCTTCTTCACTTGATGGCATAGAAATATTAGTTATTTCTACTGATCGTTCTAAAATATAGAACGAGATAAATCTTGTTAAAATAGATTTTTAAAGAATTAAGCTTAACCATTGACATTCGATCTGCTATTCACATGCACTTCATATTCATTTGCTATTGCCAATGCGACAGGTAGCATAATTGATGTACTGGCCGCACTGGAAACAGAACACAGATTCAAATATATTTCAAATTTCTATGTTAGAATCAAATGAAGAACGACCATTGATGATAGTTAAAGAAATGATTTTACGATGTTTTTATTCTAATACCTAGAATCTAATAGAATCATATGTAATAATATTACATTTCACTACATCAATGCTAGAAATATTTGAATATGTTCTTTTCTCTTTTATTCTTACCATTTGTTCGAAATGAAACTAATGCTAACATAATCTTAAGCTTAACTATAATCTTGTCTTTGTTTAGAATTTGAAAGCTAAGATAGAAATTTTTTGAAAGGTAAATATCCCGAAAATAAAAGTTTGTGCACTCAATTCAACATCATTGTTAGAATTTTCTCTTAAGATGCAGCCAGAAAAGAATAATTGAAAAACTTGAAAAGAATGATAGAAGACGAGAATTAAATTACTTGAATGTTCATAGGTATTTCCCGAAAAATAAGATCTTTCAGTTTTACTGTATATTTTTCACCTACGTACGATGTGTTTGCAAGAACAAAACGAATATTTTCTTACTCAGCTCTTTGGACTATTTCCAATGGTGCGAACTATATCGAGCATCATAAATATGACTTAATATTCGTCGTTCTTCTGTATGAACTGTCTCTCGCAATACCTACTTATTGATCCACATTGATAATAAACATGTCGTGATCATTAGACCAGCCATTGTCCTTAGTCAATAACAATAATTCTAGTTAATCACAAGCAAATCAAGAAATGAATACTAACCATTTGGCGGATGATCCGACTAGTTTTAAAACAAAAAGAGCAACACGTCTATGCAAATTCACAGTCTGAATAGCATATGCCAATGTGACACTACCAAAAAAGAATGCAGCAGTATCCTTCAAATGAAGAAGAAACAAATAAAAATATTATTGATCCGAATGTAAAACAAACTTTGAAATAGTTGGATGTTACTTCACTAGCTTTGAGTATACCCAATAATGGAAATAGAACAAGCGGTAATAATGACGTTACTGGTACAGGAATAGCTTCTGATATCCAATAGATTAATAACAGGAGTACAGCATAAGCACACTTCGATGCCTACAACTATCTTTAACTATTTTTATAAATAAATTTATAAATATATTTTACATCGGTCTGAAGTAATAATGGTAATGGTAGTAATAGAATCGGTGCGATAATAATAATCATAATTTTGTACCATTCTTTTAGCCATAATCGTACAGTCATTGCTGATTTTATTGATATGGTTTGTATTGAATGATACAAGTGGCCTTCTTTTTTTCTCTTTATTATTATTATTATTATAATTATGATTCAATTGCTCTTTTGTCGACGAGTGCATTTAATAACGTACATGATTTTAAGAAAGGTCATATTCAAATTTAGCTTTTAATGATAAATAGAAGTCGTCAGATGAAAGAATGGTAATCGGACTATCCAATGAAAAATGAACTTTAAATATATATTTATTCAAAGAGATATTGACGCTTACATTTGCCTATCATACGATAACATGATGATAGAATGTTATTTTTAATCAACAATACATTGAATGAATACTAAAGAGAAATAAAAGAAAATCTTTTTGTTTTGTTCTTGATCCTTGTTTCAACGAATATTCATCGAACAGCCCAATATTGATTTTTTCATTATAAAAACAATAAAAAAAAAAGAAGTCATCTAACACCCAACATAGATATTGAATTATAAGAATCAATTTAAAAAATAGGCAATGCAGACCATTCTATTTTCCATTTGTTTGATTATCACAAATGGAAACTGATACTTGCTTTACAATTGATTTGAATAAGACAGACCATGATGATTCTGTTCTATTCGAACAAATACATAACGAATTGATTATGTCTGTTTATATCAAAGTCAAATGTGAAAATATTCTCGATGTAGATTATGAAAAAGCATGTCTTTATGTAATAAATGGTATCCATGAAATGGGCTGTTCATATGGTAAAGATCCAAATGCATTGATTTCGTGTATCAAAGTACTGGCACTCAATTCGATACCTGAATCACCCATTTACCAAGAACAAATGTTGATCGTGAACTTCACTTTCATATACAGCATTGTTCCTATGAGCGTAATGCTTCAGATTAAATTGGTTTATTTGTTGTTCAATATGATCGAACGGAACAAGGGAGGTAAATTTCAACTGGTCAGAACTAAAGATATTATTGATATATTATCATGTGAAACAAAAGAATTATAGCGATGAAACATAAAATCATTGTACACGCTGCATATTGTACGAATGACAATGATGCGGAATTGTTACCAATTACTTTAAACGATGAACGCATGCGTTATCAATATGATCTGATTGGTAAAGATCAATTGAAACACGAACGTGTTGATAAACAGAAAGCTATTGCTGAGCTCAATTCAATTATTTTTGATACGAATAAACTTAATATTTTTCAACCAATGCTAGACAATCATACGATAGTTTTATTCAACAATCATAATTTCTTACATGGTCGAACCAAAATTCAAGGCATGGATCGGTATTTACTTCGCGTACGATTTAATTTAAAACATGAATGATTGCTTTTACGATATGGATCTCTTTTTTGATTTTGTTTTGACACTAAAATCTAATTTAAAAATAACTTGAATTCGTTTTCTCATCAATACAATGCTAGAATGCATGTGAAAGTTAAAATATAGTATTTTGAAATCTGATTCTGAACTCATCTAATAAAGGATTCATTGATCTATAAAAACTGATAGTTATGCTGTTTAAATAGATTTTTTTTCTCGGAACGATGCAAAATTCTTAATTATTAAAATCTACTCAATGAAACAGCGAATACGATCTCAAAAACTCAACAAGACTTTTTCACATAAATTTTGCATTTTTGATTACATATTGTTCTTCTTCGAACTTTCAAGAAACATAATTGGATGATAAACAAAGTATTTTTTTATTTTATGCTGACAAGACAAGAAAAATAGATTTGTAAAGCACAATTACCATTATTGTTTTTCTTTTGAAGATCACTGATAACTACAGTATTGAATGAAAGGTGAATCGAATTTCACAATGATTCTTGAGAAATAATTTAAACGCCGAAAACAAAAACGTTTTCTTGAAATAAAAATGAATCAAGATGATTCTAGAGAAGTCGATTATCCTATTCTTACCTTTAGATTCCTTCAATTCAAACCTGAGTGAAAAAGTCATGGTTTAAAAGACTCCCACGTAAAATGACGTTTTTTTTTTTGTTTTATCTTATTTTTTGTAGTAAAATCTAAGGAGTTCAGAGTTAGACCCAGTATTCATGCAAAAGACAAACTCTTCATACTACTTTGTAAACCTGTTTTTTTTTGTAAACTTAGTAGTTTTTTAATCAATTTATTACAATTGAATTTTCAGTAACACATGCTGAGTTGAGTCCTGCAATGGTATGAAACTCATTATCTTACTCTAGAAAAAAGTTTCGTTCTGTGAAAATCTCAGTAACACTGATTAGTTTCTATTAGAGGATTTTTAGCAATTTCAGGCAAAGTTCTTTAATCGAATTTTCTTTCGCTGAACAAGCTGTTAATGAAAAGATACTGTCTTGTTAAATTCAAAATTTAGTGCAAAAGTGTAGAATATGAAAAAATAGTGAGTTAGACTTAATCTTTAACAGTGGATTATGCCAATAAGTACGTAATTCTTTTTTCCTTTAGCATGTGTATAAATGTTATATGATTATGAAAAAAAAATAGTCATTAATGAATAGTGATGAAACAAACACGTAAAACATTTCTTTCAAATGATCAGAACGAATGAAACTGAAAAAAAAATTCAACTATTTTTTGTTTAACACTATGCTAAAATATTTCATTCATTTAACGAGAAACAAAATTTCATACCTTCAGTCCATGGTATTTCTATATTTTTTATCCCATAAATTTTACATTACGAGATTGATACTTCAACTCTACCCTACTATAAGATCGAGTGTCAAGAATCTATTATCGAGAGAAGAAGTATTAAAAATTGAACACGATGATACACTATTTTCTAATTCTTATAAGATATACCAAATAGATATGAAATTTTTAATAATGGTTGGGTTTATGTGTTATTATTCGAGTGATCTGAACTCTTCATTTTTTTAAAATTTACAACTAAATTTTACTTTATCAACAGAATCGTACTAGGAAGTCTATCTAGATGTTAATTAGCTTTTACAGTTCGTTTTTTTTGATAAATAAAGGAAAAACTATATCAAACAATATGTCTTTGTATACTAAACTACATAATGCATTCCTCATTTTGAGATCGCTGTTTTGCATAACAAAAAGTATATCAGCGATAGATAGCACTATCTTTTAGTCTGTTGAATAACGACATTTTAAGAAAAAAAAAATCTGTATAAAGGCGTACAGAAAGTGTATACACCTTTTGTGTATTCTCTCTATATAAAATACTCGTCGATAATTGCAATCGATACGTCTAGATTGTTTGTAATTCCAACATTGAAAATTCGATTTGAACGATGAAATATTTCGACGAAATGATCAAATATTAGATCGATTAGATTCAACATATTTTTGTTATTAATATAGCGTTATAAGAATGAGTCATACGCTAGAGAGATTTTTCCATGAGACATTATTCGTACAAACTTCCAACTGATTATTGACAAATAATATGTATTTGATATTGCTATTTACAAATTAATTATGTGCCTTTTTTCATGTTGTTCGACAGATCACAAGAATTTGCAGTGCGACGTCGATCATAAAACTGGCAATGATCTTGCTTTGATTATACATTCATAATTCGAATGGTACTACTTATCGAGTAAAGGTTTTCCATTATTTTCCACATAAAATAACTTGACTAATACAAGAGTTGAGCGCTTTTTATTCTCTTAGTCTTTCATTAATGCAACTTGATCATCGATCTGATTTCTTACTCTTTTTCTTTTTATAATCTTTTCCGTACTGCCATCGGCTCATGACCGAGAACATATTTATCAAAAAACTCGCAGCAAAAAGGTCGAAGAAACGAGAGAAAGTGCTTGTTATTAGTCGACTTTCGATAAGGAACTATTTGCTTACAAGCTGTTGGTTTGTGTGATGAAGAACGCAAGGTCCTCTTTTTTTTTTTCTTTCTCGTTCTCTGAAACGATAATATAAAGGGGGAAAAGAAATGTTATTCACAACAAGATAAAAGAAAACGGACGCACACACAGGAAAGACTATGTCGACATATAAGCTCTACTATTTCAATACACGTGGACGGGCAGAAACGGCTCGTTTGATTTTGGCTGCAGCCGGTCAGAAGTTTGACGATATTCGTTATGATCAAAATGAATGGCAATCACACAAGTCAGAAATGCCACTTGGACAACTACCTGTTCTTGAAGTAGACGGTGTCAAAATACCTCAATCATTGGCTATAGCTCGTTTTCTTGCTAAACAATTTCATCTCGCTGGTAAAGACAATATGGAACAAGCTCAAGCAGATGCTGTAGTCGATACAATTGCGGATGTAACTGCAAAATTCATTCCGATTATGTTTGAACAAGATCCAGACAAAAAGAAATTACTCGAAGAAAAATTTCAGAACGAAGAATTACCGAAATTACTCAATCAACTTGAAAGTTTAATGAAAGCATTCGGTAATGGTGGCCCATATTTTGTCGATAATAATCTTACATGGGCTGATCTACATTTCTATAACACCAGTCAAAGTATGTTATTACGCTATCCCAATATTCTTGATAAATATCCATCATTAAAATGCAATCGTGACCAAGTTGAAGCCAATTCAAATGTAGCAAATTATTTGAAGAGTCGACCGCAAACACAATAAAATTAGTTTATTGACATTTTTTGATTTTGATACAAAAATAAATAAATTCCATTAAATACTATTGCAAGAAATGAAAGAATATTTTCTGTTCAGTTTCATGTCATTTAGTGTTACAGTAATGTTGTATTTTACATAGCCAAGGTTAATCCGGAATGTGAGTATGCATGTAAGTTTCGATGGAGCATGACTGTACTAGTATGGCTGTAGAGAACATTCACACTCATACACTCAACCAAATCTTAACCTAACAGTGTTCTATACGATTAGGAGACTCAGCAATGAAACTATTGGGCAAGTCCAATCGCTAGCAACAAAATCGCGAACATGATGACTCTCATTGATTCTGAAACCTCTGCTGTTTAATGCTGAAGAAGCCGAGATTTAAAAATGAGTCAACAGTTCAAGAACAGGCAGAAATAATATGAGAACAGTGACTTTTCATTTCAGTCTGTAGGCTCAATTTTTCCAGAGCTTAATACCACTCATTCGCATCCTAAACGAATTTCTTTCATTTCTGTTGCTGAATCAAATTTATTCAAATCAAATGGAGGATTGTATGAGCTGTCAGTCTGATGGAAGAAAAAAAACCATTACATGCTACATACGTCAACTACATTCGTCGTCTTTTGTTTTCGTTTACTTTTTATTTGTTGGTGCAAATGTTGTGCTTGTTGTCAGATCACATATTGACTCATGTTGTTTTTCTATGGAAGAAAGGAGAATAAGCCATCTTTCAAAACAATTCATTTTAACAATTCATTTTCATTTTTCTCTTTCGACAAACACCAACGAACGAAAATCAAGAACACCTTTTGTGAAATTTCAATTGTTGCTCAATAATCTTAGACACAATCAATTTAATATTCGTTTCCTGCATTTTTTTATAGTTCAATCTGTTTGAAAAAAATCTCAATCCACTTGAACAGTCACAGAAAATAACGGAACGATTTTGCATCTAATCACTTTGTAAGTTTACATCATAACATGAATATCTACAGTTTTTTATGCAAATCTGTTGAAAACTAGGTTTCATTTTACACGAGAAAGATAATGGTTTCAGGATGAATTTGCATCTGAATGTGTGATATGTAAGAAATGTTTGTATTTCGATGAACTATTCTCCTCAATTAAATTCGATCAGAAAGTTTCTTTCTTATGCTAAGAGTCAAATAATTTCGTATCGAATCTATTGATATATTCTGTTTTTAATGAGTATTTACAGTTTCTTTGTGGCTTGACAACTATCAATTATGGCAGAAACATAAACTGCTGAAGTACAAAGTCAAAAATACGTAAAAATTATTTTATGTCAAGTTTTGTTTCATTCAACAATTTCTTTTTCCTATGAAGATATAAAAAAAAAACTTTGTGGTACATCTAGTTATACATTGATTTTGACGCGGTTATGATATGCTCACTAAGACAAGAAATGACGTCATTTCAAGATTGATAATGATTGAATAAAGCTTTCGTTGAAACTAGAACTAGTTTTTCTTATTGAAAACCTGTTTCAATCATCCGTTATCTATGTATCATAATCCAGATTCTGCAAAACTGGCGCCATCTATAGCTGCTGTTGCAAATAATCAAACAAGGATGCAATATTAGCGAACGGTCTAAACAAATGTAGAATAAAAAAAGTAGATTGACTTTCAGTGAAAATGTCAGTTAATCATTTTTAATGATGAAATGATCGCATATTTTTTCAGTTAATATACACTTTAAAAATTTGGGATCTTCTTATAAACACAAGAATGGTTTATGAGGATAGAACAATCTATTCATCCTTTTTTTCGTTTATTAAATTGACCAATAAACCCTTGTGCATTCCTTAATATAACTAAATAGTGTACGGTATGAGTGTGAGCTTGTGCTTGAGTGAATAGATAACACTCCCACACCCTTTTGATCATAATATGACTAAATTTCTATTTTTGGATTTTAGCATTGGCAATTCGTACATACAATGAAAGCTGTATTTCAAACTTCCCTTTCAATAGTAATTTCGGTAGATGTTGTAATGTGTCTTAGAAAGTTCGTCATGTTATGACGAAATTTCTAATAAGCTGTGCGACATATTACGAAATGACAAAATCTATCGTTCTACTGTCAAAACATTAAGAAGGCGATATAAAACAGCTCAATACAAATTAAACGCGATCTCGTTGCCCCACAATGTCGATTTTTACAGCCGAACGTCCGATTTCGTCAGATTTACTGACGATAATCCTAACGACTTCGCCTGTTCCATCTTCCCCGTCATCTGATCTAATTAAGGACACACTTACATCGTTGCCCAACTCGTTATCAAAGGTTCCTATTATTATTACCTTTGATAATTTTACTGTTGCCTTAAGCGAACGCGGTAAATTGAAGAAAGGATATGTTCCTCAAGACCTAGCGAATCGATATCCTGCTTATATTGAAAATGTTTGCAAATTATTTGGCGACGTTTCCTGTTTATCTGATGATCTGGAATGCTCAGTTTCATCTAGCTTAGATCGTAATGTGACCTTCCTTATATTCAAAAAACGAAATGGATTTGCTTTCAGTGTCAAAATTGCATTACATTATGTGAAGACACCATATGTTATGATTCTTCAGCACGATTGGCTCTTTACGTCTCCTCATCCACCAATGTCTCATCTTTTATCAATATTGCAAACTGAAGATGAAGTACAATACATTGGTTTCGTCGCACGCATGTCACTAAATTATGAAACAAGTAGAGGTCAATCACATTCCTACTATCGTTATATCTTTTCTCAAGCTCGAAATCTTCGATCAGATCGTCCCTTTAGTAAAGACCTAATAGCTTGTTTACATTGGTTTGATAGACCACATCTATGCTCCGTCGAAACATATCGCCAAATTTTTGGCATGTCAATCGTCAAACGAGGAAATTTTCTTGAAGACACATTCGGCGTGGAGTATATACAAAGCATGAAAAATGCATTAACTAAAGAAGCTGCATTTGAAGAATGGAAAAAATGGGGTGCATGGATGTATTATCCTGATAATGGCAAGACGGTCACTGTTCGTCATCTCCATGGTAGAATAAATTTATTGGGTGAAAGGCAGGAGGAAACTATAAAGAAAATGATCAAAGCGAATATAGAGAAGCGTGCTGCATCAGTTAGCGAAGAGAATGAGAGATGGAATATGGATGATGTTACTATTGACGAACTCAGTGTCGATCTTTAACAGAGTGATTTTATTGTGTTTTTAAGTCAAAACTTCGAAAAAATGATGATGTCAAGTGTTACTAATGAGGTGAAAGTAACGTGAGCTTTGAAGCAAAATTGGAATTGTAGAAAAGGAAAATGAAATTGTTTCGAATTCCAGAATCCAATTGTGGTAACTGCTTGTGTCAATATGAAAGACAGTTGGAGTGTGGGTGATTGTATGTGTAAGTATGAGTCTTCTCTTTAATCATATCAGTACAGCCGTACTCTATCAAAATCTACATACACGCCCACACCCACATGCATCAGGATCATTTTCATTTGTAGAAAAATGAATGTATTTAATTCTTGTCAACATCATATTTCACCGTGCTTTTTTAAAAGTTCTATTTCTTGGCTATAATCATTGTGTAACAGTAATGAAATTTTTGAATTTATTGTTTGTTATTTTTGTCAGACCAACAAACAAGAAATCAATACATTAAATTTGCTAGAAGCAACCATGAGTATATTGTACAAGTCAACAGACTATGATAAATCAACATTTGAGAACACTCTAAAAACCAAAATCTCAACAATAAATTACTGGTCAAGCGATAAATAGTACATATCGACGATGTTTATATTGATTTTTTCGATGATAAACTATGTCAGTCATGACTTATAGCATACGATTCTATAACAAATGCTGTGTAGAAATGTTCACTATCATGAAAAAATAAATTCATATGTTTGACAAATCGATAAATTATATGCGACCATAAAAGCAATAGTGCTCGAAATAATTTTACTGAAAAAATATTTAAATTCGTTTATTTGAAGTCAGCAAGCTAATGAAACTATGTCAAGAGTCAAATTGCTATTAGTAGCTACTATGGATAAAATCATACGTTGCGTTTAAGAGATCACCACGAGTTTTAAATATCAGTCTGAACAAGATTATTGCCATATATACTTTTCTGCACTTTGTTTTCACCATACACTAAAATATTCGACTGTAGAATCGGTCAGATATGAGTTTTTTTGAAGGTAAAATCCAAAGTATTCCGCATATACATGAAACTTTTATGTTCTTCAATAACGATGTCCATGACTTTAATGAATAATAATTAACATCTTTCCAAGCAATCTATGCCTGATTCTAGTAACTTCCGATTCTATTAACTACTTTGTTTTGAGCATGTGAAAGTAGGAGGGATTTGATATTGTAAACGAACAAAACAGAATCAATAGCATGACGAGTCTTTATTACGTATAATAGTCACGTTGCAAGAAAAAATTTACTTTCTTCCTATACATAAACACGTTGCAAGTTAGAGAAAAAAAAGTTACTTCCTTTCTATGATCAATGCGTCATGTCGCCGATAACGCACATATATTACCATCACTTATTCTACTAGTTACATTTTAATTGGTAAGTAGAATCACGTGAAGACATGATAGTAACGCTTCTTTCTACTTTGCTTACACATTCTAACATAAGTGTACGTCGATGCTTTTATTTTTGTTATCCATATCCTACATTCTCTTGGGGAGAAATGTTTCTTATTGTTTCCTTAGATATGTCATCACAATGAATTTTCGTTTTTAGAAAACGGATTAGATGATAACTTTAAAGCGTTCTCAGAGTATGCAGACAGTTTTGTAATTATATAAGGTTGTCTTGATGGGAAACGACCTCAGAGAATGACTGAGAATGTTTTTATTTTCTCGGAACATGATGCTCCATACTGAACGATTGTTTACATCTTTCTTGAAAAGTAGAGAGCAAGTAGTTTCTTGTAATCGAAAGTCGATCACTATTTCTCTTACGAAGATCTTTTCAGTTGCCTATTTTTTTCCAAACAAACCTAATTAGTCAGCAATATCAACGAATATTCAGAATTTAAAACACTCGTTATCCAAAAAAAATCACAGACAGCTATGACATGGTGAGTGATGTGGACACTCACATATCTCTCGTTCCATGCAGAACCAAAACTTTTCTTTCATTATTGCGAGATTCGAAACCGATTATTTTCTTATAGAACTTACTGTTTGCCATTACAATCGCGCAACCACTTTATAGTGCTTTTATCATCCATTACAACACGTTTGATTATAATGAAAAACTCATCGGAAAAAATGAACCGAACTAGCAATAAAGAGGACGTCACTCTGATTTGGTTCGATTCTAAGATGGAATTGAATAATGATGCAGAAGAAATAAAGAAGCGTCTACGTCAAATCAATGATTATGTTGTGTTTCATACTCAACTTGAATCTTGTATTACTTTCATTCAATCAATTGAAAATGAAAAAGTCTTCTTGATTTCTTCAGTTTCTGATATCTTGCAAATACTATTCCGTATTGAAACTCTACCTCAAATTGATATCATCTTTGTCTTCAACTGGGACAAAGTCAACTCTGAACAACTATTTATTGAACATCCAAAATTGATTGGTAGATATCATGAACTCGATCTATTATGTTTATCAATCCAAGAACAAATAAACTTTCTCGACCGACATATACAAACATTCAGCTTCTTCGATCAAGATGAACACATGACAAAGGATCTATCAAAACAAACCACTGATTTTCTATGGTTTCAACTTTATCACGATATTCTCTTTCAATTACCATACGATGAAAAAGCTAAACAAGAAATGGTCAATGCATGTCGTTCCTATTATCGAGACAATATCAAAGAATTGGAAGTGATTGAGAGATTTGAAAATGACTATCGATCAGAAGAAGCCCTTCAATGGTATTTGAGAAAAACATTTCTTTACAAAATCATCAACAAAGCTTTGAGAGTTAAAGACTTTGATCAACTTCACATATTTCGATACTTTATGAAAGATCTAACAGAGAATTTCGTTCAAAAGCATCAAAAATTGGTTCAGTCTAGTAAAAAATTATTAATCACCTATCGAGGAATGAAAATGACGAAGGATCAAATCGACAAATTCAAAGAGAACGAAGGTAAAATGATTTCAATCAATGGTTTCCTCACAACAAGTATTCTTCGTTCAACTGCGTTGGATCAAGCGTTGAAATCTATGACACAAACTAATCTCGTTTCCGTTCTCCTTGAAATTCATGGTGATCTACAACACCTTAGTAACGGTGTCATTGTTGCTGATTGTTCTCATTCCAGTGAATTCTCATGTGATGAACAACAAGAAATTCTCTTCAATTCAAATGTCACTTTTCGATTGGATAGTGTGAAAATGGAAGAAGAAATATGGTTGATTAAAATGAATGCATCGAATGAAGGTCAAAGTATCAAAGAAAAATATATCAAAGACTCACATCGTCAAAGGGAAGATCTGAGCATCGAGCTTCTCTTTGGACGATTGATGTGTGATATGGGTTTATGGAATCAATCACAACATTTCTTAGAAAATTTATTGAACAACTCGAATAACAACAAGGAAGATCTGTCGATGGTTGAATGTAGTCTTGGTGAGGTTCTTCAATGGAAAGGAGAATGGAATGAAGCACGGAAATATTATGATCGTGCCTATGATCGAATAATGAAAGTCACACCCACATCGATCAACAACTTAGCATTTATAATCTTTAATATTGGTGAAATTCTTCATCTGGAAGGAAAGTACGAAGAAGCTTGCGACTATTATGAACGAGCATTAGCAATGTGTAAGGAAAATTATCTCTCTACCATGGTGGATAGGTCCTGCCCAGAGAATTATGAACGCAGCAGTGTAATGAGTCATGTTCGCGGATTGTTCCGACAGATTTTATTGAATTTTGGCGGATTCATTCAAATTTCTTTTCGATGGTTTTGTAACAGAGGATTTCGAGGAAGTTTTGGCCGATTCTTATCGAAATATACGGCCAACAAAACAGAGCAAGTCGGCAAAGAATTGACTGCAAGACGTATGTTAAAAATGTGTCGAAATATACAGGAAATTGGCCAATTGCAAAAGGGTGAGAGAAACACAGGTGATATTGCGCTTATTGCTGCTAGTCTCCGTGGTTTTGGCAAGATCTTCGATCGGCAAGAACAATATGATGAAGCACTTTACTCTCATGAACAAGCACTGACAATGTTAGAAAAATATTATGAATCATCTCATATCGATATCGCTGTTAGTTATTACTATATAGGCCAGGTTCTTAGGCATCAAGGAGAATATGAAAAAGCTCTCGACTTCAGTCAACGAGCATTATCAATTTATACGAAATATTATCCAAATGGCCATGCATACATCGCTTCCATTCTCAACAGTATCGGTCACATTCTCTACTGCCAAGGCAAACATGATGAACCTCTGAAGATGTTTGAACAAGCATTGGCTATGCTGCAAAAGTATTATGCATTTGGTCATGTTGAGATAGCATTTGGTCTCGCTGGAATAGCAAATGTTCAATATCAAAGAGGAAAATACGATCGATTTCTGGCATTTAATGAACAGGCGCTTGAAATTTTACGGAAATTTTATTTTCCTGGTCACGATGAGATTATCTGTATTCTCAACAATATTGGCTATATAAAAAATGAACTAGGAAAGTATGATGAAGCTCTTGATTTTTATCGACGAGCATTGGACATGCAAGAGAAATTTTATCCATCTTATCATGCTAACATTGCTGACACTCTCAATGCCATGTGTAATGTGCTACGTTGTCAATCAAAATATGATGAGGCTCTATGCTATTGCCAACGAGCACTAACAATGCAAGAGAGCTATTATCCATCTGGACATGCTTCAATAGCCTTGAGTCTCAACAATATTGCTATCATTTTAATCGATCAAGGAAAGTACGATGAGGCTATTGGTTTCCAACAAAGAGCACTTGCAACTGTCGAAAAGTATAATCCATCAAATCATTCTTCCATTGCTATTTATATGAAAAACATCGGGTTTATATTAAACAAACAAGAAAAGTATGATGAAGCTCTCGATTTTCATCGACGTGCACTCAAAATAGAAGAAAAATATTGTCCATGGCATGAGCGTGAGATTGCCAAGACTCTCAGTTTTATCGGTGTTATTCTCGTTGCACAGCACAAATATGATGAAGCCTTAGAATTTTATCATCGCGCACTTGAAATGCAAAAGAAATTCTGTCCTGATGGTCACATCGAAACCTCTCATACTTATAACTTGATCGGTAATAATTTATATGATCAAAAGAAGTACATTGGAGCTATAGAGCTTTATGAAAAAGCCTTGGCTATTCAAGAAAAACATTATGAATGTCCTCATATTGACACCGCGCAGACTCTAAATCGTATTGGTAATGCCTTATATAGTCAAGAGAAATATGCTGAAGCTACTGAATTCTATAAACGATCGTTAGCTATTCGAGAAAAACTCAATCCATTTGGTGATGCTGGAATTGCTACCGTTCTTTGCAATATTGGAAAAGCCCTCTATGAAGAAAAAAAAGACGATGAAGCTCTTGAGTTCCATCGACGAGCATTAATAGTTCGAGAGAAATTCGACACAAGTAATCTTATCGATATCGCCGATAGTTTGAATTTTATTGGTAATGTCCTATATCGCCAAAAAAGATATTCTGAAGCTACTGAATTCTATAAACAATCATTAGCTATTCGAGAGACATTACATCCATATGGTAATACTGGAATCGCTACCGTTCTTAGCAATATTGGGGGTGCTCTGCGTGAACAAAGAAAATATGACGAAGCTGTTGACTTTCTACAACAAGCAGTGGTAGTTCTCAAAAATAGTTCACCTACTGATCAACGGGCAATAGCTAGCGATCTCAAGAACATTGGTTATACTCGTTTTCAGCAAAGGAAATATGATGAATCTATCAAATTTTATTCTCAAGCATTGAGCATATTCGAAGAATATTACCCTAACCATCATATTGAAATTACTAGTTGCCTGTCCTGGCTCATTGCTAGCTTTAATAGAAATGCACAGTTTGATCTTGCTATTGAATATTTGGGAAGATGTTTGTTAATTGGAGAAGCCAGTTTGTCTCCAAAAGATATCTCCATTACTACCGTCCTTACATATTTTTCACAGGTACAAAGAACTAGAGGCCAACATGAACTCTCGCTTATATATGAACAGAATTGTTTGTTAATGCGTCTCAAATTGCTACCGCCAAATCACCAAGATATTGGCGATAGTTTATCGACCATAGGTGAGATTTACGAAAGCCTCCATAAACCAGTATTGGCACTTGATTACTATCAACAAGCATTGGCAATCTACAGGAAATGTCTGTATCCGTGGCATGATAATCTCTGGAAGATGGAATTGAATATTGAACGACTTTCACAAGAACTTGGAATACAACCCTAGAAATCACATTTGACCTCTCATAGGTGCTTCTTTTTCTATAGAACATGATTATTATTAAAATACAATGTTGACCAAAAAAATCTTGATAAGAATAGATTGGACGATTGCATGTATCTATTTTCTAACCAAAGATCAAAGCATTTGGAATGCATTTTTTATTAACCAATAATCTGAGAATAAAAGCAAGTACATTCGTAGTTAGATCAGAAAGAATTGCTTCATGTAATACGTTTTCTAGGGATGTTATAGAGGTAATCACAGTTCGTACAACAAGCACATATCATTGTTTCAAGACAGTACACATTATATTCGAAACACATTCAAAAAAAGTTTCGAATATATTTGAAATAAGTCTTCGATAACTATACTAAATAATTGATATAAAGATGTCAGCCGTAACCTGAAGTTTCACGAGCGGTGTCAATTTTTTCTGAAGATCAACAATTAATTCACGATGTGGATATGCCCAAGCCAACCCTGTTGGGCCATGAACAACAGTATACCGACGAGTTACGGTGGATAAAAGTAGCTCTTGGCGGTAACCATTTACAACGATCGTAAACGGTACTTTACGATGAAGCATGCCCATCGTAAACAATGATGATAGAAAGTCACCGTTGACGGCTAGCGCAACTATACGGCAAGTGGAATGGGATGTGTTTCATATCATTAGCTCACACCCTTACTTTCTATTTTTAAAGTTGATTATTCAATTAAACTCACCAATGAAATAAAAATATTTCTAAGTCATCATGACGCAGGAAAAGAAGGCGATGGACAAGAAATGTAAAAAGAACAATATAGAAATGTTGAATAATTTCGAATGTAACTGTATTTTATAATTCTATTTTTTTAATATAATCCATATACTTTGACAAAAATAAATAATTAATATTCTCTCCATCCATATTAACATTAGCAACAATCTATCTCTCTTGATACCACATGTTTTGGCATTATAGTTTTGAACAGAATAAGACTATCTTGTCCTTTTAAACCTATAACAATGCTAATGTATCAATAACACAATATCACACATCTACGTTTCTAATTGACAATTTTCTATACTTAACAACTATTATTATGCTTTTGTTGTTCTTTTTTTTTTTCTTAGGTTTCTTTCTAGTTCGCTATGGCAATAAAACATAATTTCTTTGATTACTTGCTATCCTTTTTTTTACTTCAAACTTTATGAAGCTAACAATGTCCTATTTTCTTACAAGTTACTGGTTCATCTTTTTCGTCAGCATGCTTGCCTTGACATATTACTGCGCAACAATATTGTAATGACTACAGTTTATCAAAGCCAAATTCTATCGTTCACTGTAAGTATTATCTGATCATGCTTTTCAAAGATTCGATTGTTTAAGATACTTCATGTAAATTGTTCGAGACCCGTATCTCTAATAAAAAGAGCTCAATTATTAAAGAAAGGGTTCTAGATATGACGTAAATATTTATACTTTCCATTAATATCAAATTAATATTAAGTTATCATAATTTTTAATTAATATATTACTTAATGGTAATGTCGTAGTTTCAAATTCATATCACAGACGAAAAAGGAAAACTCTATCGGCTGTGAACCGCTGAGAGTTTATATATTATTAATTAAGAAACATTTTTATGACGCATGTACAAAAATTTTTCATGTTCAAACATAAAACAAGTTCATTTACTAGTAACACTTGATTTTGTATGTATTTTACTTAGGCTGTTGTTATTAGGAACAGCGTTTCTTATAAGAACAAATTCAATGATTCGCAATCTACCGCTGAGTACTACGTTAATTTTGAAAATAATCGAATGATTTTTGAACCAGCCGATGCAGGAAACATTTTTCCACTCAAAAATGTAAAAAGAATCTATGCTTTTTTTATATAAAAATCTTGAGTAAAAACTTAACTTTGTCACACTTCCAAAAGGGCTGTTGTTAATAGGAACTTTGACAGTGATATTCATTCATTATCAAGGGTTATAATATAATCAGCATAAAACTGAGGCGACAACTGCCTTCATATTGACCATTCTCATCGTTAATGATGAACGAACGTTATCAAATATATCGGCTATTGTTTGTGTTACTTTGTCTATCACTCTTCTATAAATTAATAATCCTTAGAAATTAAGTCATTGATTAACCGCGATCTACCTATTGTGTCTTACACTGCGTGGTATTCACTATTCGGTTTGTTATACTTGTTGTATTGATAAAGTAGACTTGAATCATACTTTATACGTTATCGAGGCTGACTCAGGAGAAAGAACATCATCACTTGAAGTTTAACCGAGCAGCGACCGTAGATTTACATCACTACCACTCATCAACTCATCTACATCTATTGTTGCAATTGAACTAAAAAGTTAAAATATCAAAATCGAAAAATGAAACAAATGATAGTATTAGTGATCATTATTGGACAGTCATATATGAAACTTACAAGCAAACGTCCCCAGTCGTCAAATTACTTTTTGAACGCGTATATACTTACACACATGATACTCAGTACTCTTTAGCACCTCAGACGAATTTAGATCCACCATTAGAAGAGATTCACGTCATGCTATCGTCTACAACATTCGCATTATCAATACAATCAAGTATATCACAAAATAATATGATAACAAAAGAAGCATCTGTTTCATGTACGAATAATATAACATTTGTTCCACTTTACAAAGAACACTAAGTTAAAATGTGTCGAATGTATTGTGATTTACGACACAATGCACTACACATTAAAGCACGACACGAGGTGCTCGGTGCGACACATTTTGGCCAGCAAGACCACGACACATTTTTTAGGACACATCCGTCACATTTTTCATTGGTTCTTTTGGAAAAGCAAATTTCGATTTTTTTTTCAATTTATTTCCATTTATTTATTCATATTCTGAATAATTCAGACAGTCATAACCTGAGATCTGGCCGATCTCTAGTCGGTCCGATTTACATCAGACCATTTCAGAGTAGTCCTCTCTCGATCGTAGATCGAAATTGGCATTTCCTCGATTAAAAAATGATCGAGAGATAATCTAAAAAAAAAGAATGTTTTGAAAATTTATCTTTCGTACGTTGAATCGCGTTGTCTATATGTCGCCATGTGTGCATAACAGAACAGTGAATGAATAGTTGACAGATAGAACGCGACAAATTCATATACGACACATTTAAGGCACGACACTTTTTTGTGCTGGAGCGCACAACACAATAAATCACGACACATAAACACGACGCATTTAAATTTAGTGTGAACTTATTAAAGTTATGAATATGAAGTCAATTATTGAAAAAAAGATACCTGAAATAAAGTTGTTTTGAAGAATTCAAACGTCTTAGATACTCACCACTTCACAAATGCCTTTATTTTATTGCATGTTCTATTTTGCACAACAGTAAAAGAAGTTCGTTCATTTGAAGAACTAGTCGAAAATCCTCTGACTCACTACAAGCACTCACTTGGAAATGTCGGACACTTATTGCTTTATCAAAGAAAAAATAAATAATTTTATTTATATAAATTTAAAGAAACGTGACGCGTTAGTTTAGGTAAGTATGCAAGAGTGTTAGCTAAGCAAATATTCAGAAAAAACTATCGTTCACGATTTACGTGAAAAACTTGAATGATTCAAAAAGCAAATACTGAAGAAAAATTTTTGCACAAATCGTTTTTTTCTGTGGCATTTTAATTTGTTACGAATTTTTCTAACTGAAAGAAGAAAGATTTTGGAGTATCCTAGTGATTAATGGAAAAACGTTCACAAAATCCAATTTTAGAAAACCGTGCACGAGTAAGAGCAACAAAGCGAAATATTTCTCTACATGGTCATTGCGACAATGGTAATACAATTATAGAAAACGAAGCATCATTAGCAAAAGAAGGAAATTCTCATGCTTTGTTACGATATTGTATTCAAAGTGGTGACGAAGTACTTGAGCAGTATCTGGACAAATGCAACAAAAACGCAACGTATATATCGAAAACAGCTACAAATCAGCTAATGGACAGTTATTAGTAAATAGGTTTTAGAACAAATTATTAACACGATTAAAAAAAGTACAACTTGATACGATATTATTAGACGAAACAAGAAAATTAGATTTTTTTGAAAATCTCTTTCATCTCTTATACGTGTTGCCATGTGTTCTCGCTAAGTTTAACTGATATATCAAATATTGAACAAGCTAGTCTTTGTATTAAATACATCTTAAATGATCAAACTTAGGAAAACTTTTTAATGTTTGTTCCGATTACTGATCGATCAGGCGCTAGGCTAGCAATTATAATTATTCAATCCATTTTAGATTTAGGTACAGATTAGATTTTTTGACTCGGCAAAATATTCGATGATTATTTTTTTTTGTTTATAGGATAAGGTCTATCTTTCTGTGTTGGACCAGGATCTGATGACTGTTCAGTAATATCAGGTATAAGAACTATCCTTTTTTTGAATTAACCGCTTGAAGGGTCGTTTTCTAATTGTTTATATCTTATACTTTGTGCAGGATGTATCAAAGGCTATCATGCAGTGATTCGAGAAAAATATCCACATATACCATACGTTCATTGTACGTCTCATTCGTTCAATTGAGTGACAAATGATAGTTATGAAATATATTCAATATAGAACACGATGGGTACAAAACAAGAAATTAATAATTTCATTCGATTGCCATGAGTTTGTACTCAAGTCTTTGATGAATTAGCATGTGAAGCAAATAAGAAACGAACAACAGTATTAAATGAGAATATTGAAACATTATATATATAGTCATCAGAGAATATTACAGCTGAAGGAGGATGTAAGCAATTAAGTTGGTGAATGCCTGCATGACCAGATGGGTTGAACATCAGATAGCTGTTGAAACATTTAATTGTTTATTTTATTTTGTTGTTGAATAATTAACTGATTTAATGAAATTCAAAGATAGAATATCATCAATTAGATCAAATATGTATTGTACTGCAATAATATCTACAGAGGTTGTATGTTCATTAACAATGTTCAATAAACTATTATCGTTAACAATTAATGTAATGCGTACGTGCAAAATACTCACTTCTTGTCTACACTGGCACTGTTTGAGAATAAACTCACGGAAAGTTTATAAAATAGTAAAATTGATCTGATCACTTGTATTTAAAATATTGAAGAGATCTTACAAGTAATACAAATGATGAGAAATGAACCTGATGTTGAACATAACTATTTATATGAAGAAGCACAAGATTTCGCTCAGTATACGGAAACGGTAATAGGAATGCTAAGAGTCATCAAGCGACAAGTATGAAGAGGATCTGGTTAGAGAAGCACTTACTCGTTTGTTTTCGCTGAACTCCTTGTGAAATGTTTTGCCTTTGTTTTCATTGTTAATAGTTATCATTGTTTTTTTTGTTATAAATGTTGTTATTGAATCTTATGTTTTGCTTCTTTAAAATAGAATATTGATACAATTCTTCTGTATTCTAAATCGTTTCTTTTGATTTCAAATATGTTTTAAAGAAGTTGGTGGGTCTACTATTGTTAAGACTGCCTAGTGCTTCGTACTAAGACTAGATTAATTGCTTATAGAAATTGGTTCAATAGATTTTATAATTGAACAAACGTATTTAACAATACCTTGGTAAAAATCGTACACACATGTTAGAGACATCTCTCATTGCATTAACATTTTCTATCAAGCACTTTGCCTGCATTAGAGACGCTTGCCCTCTTCTCTCATTGGTGATTTAATTGTTCACTGTGAACGAAGATTGGCTTCAAACGAAATTAAGGTTGACAAAGAAAATACAGATTATTTTATTTGGATAGTTTTTTTACAAAAATATTTCCGTTCTTTTGCTTATTATTTAAAAAACTCTTTTAGGTAGATCTCAGTCATTCTTTGACTATCTCCTCAACTTACTGATAGATGACGCTCACAGATTTAATGATACAAAATGCACATGTTTCGCAGAGGTGTTGAGTTTGATCAAAACCCAATTAATATTAGGATTAGAAAAAAATTTCAACTTATACAAAATTTTTCTAATAGACTATAGATATAGCAAGAGAATATTTTCAACTGATAAACGCTGTTTGAATTCATATTTTGTCCATAGATAAGGCTCATAATTAAGATGAAAACCCTAAAAGGGTTCGTTCCC